AGACCTTTAGTATCATTATTACATTCTTAACGGCCCATCAAGATAGAAAGAAATCATAAGGGCCAATTGACCTTTGGTTTAATTTTACACACTTGCCAACCTTTTTAAATTTCCATGGGTGAGATTCTGCATATTCAAAATTAAAAACATAAATAAAATGAGTGTTATGCCCCTAGGCTTAGGGACACATAAACCCTTTAAAAGGACATAATTTGAGTTGTTCTTTTAGATGAAATTATTAAATCGTAGAATAAAGAAATATATGGGTATAAAATTCACTATTGAGAATATAGAAATGTTTGGGTAAATTCATTTTTGGAAATATTAAATTAAAGGGTCCAAAATTCGGAGTCTCCCTCCTAAATAGGGAGAGCTGGCAAGTATGTTTACATTCTGATAAAATGTGTATAACAATTTTAACTGTTCCTTCTATTTAAGTCCTGTTTAGGCTTAAAGTCTACAAAGTAGGATATATTGATAAATTAGAAGCAGCACAATGTGTGGCGACTAAAAGTCTTCTGTCTACCAGAAATGTTTAACTTACGATGACCTACCCAGAAAGGCTATCAAAACTTAATTCGAAGGGGAGTATGTCAGTGTAGTATAGCAACAGGGTTAACTTCAAAATGGTCTTCCCACACCAATCCAGAATGTTCATTTAGATATTTCATTCATTCTTGCACTCAGCAGTTATCATTTAGACGACGTTTCACAGACATTTCTTGATTGATCTTCTCTTTATTTTAATATCAAGATTTTGTGGAAACATACCAAGCAATAAAATGTTATTGATAGGTGAATAACCTTATGCATTTCTTTTTTTGCCAATTGTGTATAACAATCAATGAGTTGATGCGTACATATGTGCCTTATATAAAATATAAAGAGTGAAGTCAGGGCTCTTAATGTTAAGGTGACCCCAACATTTGATGTAGATTATGTATCTGATAATTTTAAAGATATATATAAATTTTAAAACCAATATTATTTTAACCACCAGCAAAAAATTCTTACAAGTATCACAACTAATAACTTGATAATATGAATTTAAATTTCAACATTTAAATTGTGAGAAGTCATCATATTGAAGTTAAAGCTACTTTTTACTGTAGGTTACATGTTATATATGTAGGTATCTAAGGCCAAATAAATCAATCTTGTGTTTCCCCTTACCCTACATATACATATACCCCTAGATTATGGTGCTGACCATAAAGTATTTATTGGCATTTATTGATATGCACTGTTAAAGTCAAACTCCTGCTCTATATAAACATAGTAAAAATATTTCCCAAAATGAAAAAGAAAGTGTCTACCTACTCTCTCGAAGATTGTCTGAGGATGAAAACACGGGGTCTTCCCTCCACTCATGTAAAAACCCTACACAAACGACAGATAATTAATATCCATTTGCCGTCTAGCCCTAGGCACCACGAGCAGTCGGCGTTTAAAATTGTAGAAAAATATACATGATACATACAAAATACAGATGTACTATATACCCGGTATATATAAAAGCACAATTGACAAAGATGTGTCACCACAAACATTCGTTTACGAAACTCGCTATCTGTTATCCAAAAACATCCTTTCCCATCTAAACCAAAAACCCTGCTGCCCAGGAAAACCTTGGAGCTGCCCCCGGAAACCTGTGTCCTATTGCCGACTTGCAATAATAATAGAACTACTACAGCCCAATGCAGGATGGTCAAGGGGTAACGCTGGACCTGCGTTAAATTTCACATGTATTTATCAATTATGTCTGTCAATACAGAAACTACAAACAAATCTAACGAAACCTTTAAAATCTTATCTCCATTTTTCGAGAAAAATTAAAATAAAATGAATTCACCATTACTGTGAACCCCAATACCACCGAATTAAAAATGCAAAGCACTGCCTAGCTGCTCTTCGCATATATATCTACGTCCTTGAACTCCAGCCCTACCTAAACACCCCTACATACGGGTGTGCATCCTTGAACTCCAGCCCTACCTAAACACCCCTACATATGGGTGTGTGTCCTTGAACCCCAGCCCTACCTAAACACCCCAACATACGGGTGTGCATACTTGAACTCCAGCCCTACCTAAACACCCCTACATACGGGTGTGCATCCTTGAACTCCAGCCCTACCTAAACACCCCTACATACGGGTGTGCGTCCTTGAACTCCAGCCCATTTGAACACCCCTACAAACGGGTGTGCGTCCACAAGTGAATACACATAAAATACCCATTACTTTAATAGTAGAACCTATATTTGAACAAAAGCAAAAATTTAACCTGAACTGCTCGGTGTCTGACTAGAGAATGCCTATACCCAGAACATACTGCGTGACCACGCGATAACGCCCGTGTGCCACGTTCTTACCTCTTGTCCGCGAATGCAAACAATTCCTGCTATTACTACCGAAAAGCGGGAATATTTGATAATTTTCATTTTGGCCAAAATAGTGTGCTACATATAAACCCCAAAACCACATGGAGAATAAAACGTGAGTCTGCCTTCAGTAGGGTACTAGGTCCTATTATTATCACACAAGCTAGCCTCACTGCAGATCTAGAGTAGATAAATCCTACCATTGCTTGTTCAGATTTTGATATCTGACTAAAATAATCAACAAAGTAAGCTAATTTTTGGTCAATATATGTAGTAGAAAATGGATGTATAAGTAAGTATTTAACTGTACCTGTATCTGACTTTCCTCCACCATTAAAACCATTGGCACGTTGTACTCTAATGACTTAAGCTGTTAATGTGTCTTCAAACACAAACAAACCAAACCAATCTGTAAGTTGATTATTTTCCATGTAGATTTAACTAGGGTTCCTTAAGTTGAGGTGCGCCCAACATTCGATGTAGATGATGTATTTGATAAGTTTAATAAGTTAATATAAATTTGAAAACAAATATATAACCATGCACCAGCATAAATGGATTACAAGTGTCAAAACTAGTTTTGTAAATATGAATTTAGATTTCAATATTGAAATTGTGAGAAATCAGCATATTGAAACAGTTTAAAAGCTACTTTTTATTAGCTCACCTGGTCCGAAAGGACCATAGTGAGCTTTACCGTGGCGCAGCGTCCGTCATCAACTTTTTCTTTAAAACCTTTCCCCTGCTTAACGCAAGAGAAGATTTCAACCAAATTTTATCTGAAGCATCAGTAGGAAAGGGCAATCATTTCTCAAATGAATGAGGTTGGTTCGACCCCTGAGGCCAGGGGGGCGGGGCCCTGAAGGGGAACTTAGCTAAATTTGCTTAAAAACGCATCTCCTGCTTAACGCAAGAGAAGATTTCAACCAAATTTTATCTGAAGCATCAGTAGGAAAGGGTAATCATTTCTTAAATAAATGAGGTAGGTTGACCCCTGTGGCCAGGGGGGCGGGGCCCTGAAGCGGAGTTTAGCTAAATTTGCTTTAAAGCGCATCTCCTCCTAAATGCCAGAGAGGATTTCAACCAAATTTAGTCTGAAGTATCACTAGGGGAGGGCAATCATTTGTTAAATATATGAGGTTGGTTCGACCCCTGAGGCCAGGGGGGCGGGGCCCTGAAGGGGAACGTAGCTAAATTTGCTTTAAAACGCATATCCTGCTAAACGCCAGAGAAGATTTCAACCAAATTTAGTCCGAAGCATCAGTAGGGAAGGGCAATCATTTCTTAAATAAATGAGGGTTGATTCGACCCCTGAGGCCAGGGGGACGGGGCCCTGAAGGGGAACTTAGCTAAATTTGCTTAAAAACGTATCTCCTCATAAACGCCAGAGAAGATTTCAACCAAATTTGCTCTGAAACTTCATTGGGGGAGGGCAATCATTTTCTAAATAAATGAGGCTGGTTCGACCCCTAAAAGGAAAATTATTTAATATTTTGATTTTATTAAGACGCTAATACCCCCTAATTGCCTGAGTGGATTGTACAAAATTTGGTCAAAAACATTATTGAGGAAGAACAAACATTTCTTAATTGAATGGGGTTGATTTTACCCCTGCGGTAGTAAGAAATGGTACCGCTAGATTATCATATTCTATGGTGTAGTTTGTTAAAAATTGGTTTCTAGGTTTATAAAATTAAAGCTTATAGTTGAATAAAAATTAAAGTATTGTATAATTACACCCTGTAATATGGTATATTACTTATTTCAAAATCTGTTAACATGGCAACTCAATGATCGAGGCCCCTGATTAGTTGAAAGTCAGATATTGTGGTCCCAGTTGGGTTTTATTAGAACATAGATCTGGTGTGGTTTTGAGGAAATTTCATATAAAGATGTACTAATGCATTCAGTTGTAATGACCTATATATAAAACCAGGTGAGCGATACAGGTCCAATGGACCTCTTGTTATAGTTTACATATATATACTTTATGCTGGTATGTAAATAGTGTGCTATATATAAACCCCAGAACCACATGAAGAAAAACGTGAGTCTGCCTGCAGTAGGTCACTAGGTTCTATTTTTATCATACAAGCCATGCCTCACTTTAGACCTGTACTGGATAAAATCCTCCTGTTGTTTGTTAAGATTTTGATATCCGACTACAATAATTATGAACAAGAAAAGCTTTTTTGTCAATTAATTATAATAAAAATAAATATGTAGGCAGTATTTAACTGTATTCGTAACCTTCGTCTCTATAACCTGATCAGGTCACAGTGTCTTGCCGTCTCCCAACAAAAGGTCACCATGGATTCATAACCTGATCAGGTCACAGTGTCTTGCCGGGGGTTGTGTGGGGTAAAGAGGAGCCCCTAGTCATCATTCTGTCTAGAAGGGGTTTAAATATATTATACAGTATACATATTTAACACATTGTTGATCAGGTATTATATATTTTCACTCTGGTGTTAATCAGGGACATTTTCACTGTCAGGGTTAAGTCAGTGCTTTATATGGGTTTCATCTAGGTCATGTACCGTGTGTGTAACGTTACCTCACATTGTGACCTGAGGCGCCTTCTGAAGTTAGTTACCATATTTACATCATACATGTAGATAACATACTTGAATTAGAAGTATGTGTCAGCTTGTGGATAGATCACTGGACTGTATATATATAGCCCGGCTTATCACACATACAACTAGCCTCTACCTGGAGACCTGATCACCTGGCATCACTGGTGCTGCTCCGGTACATCAGCACAAACTCCAGTACATCATCACCAAACTGTTGTTGGTTGAGTTGTGGTCCTGATGAATCAATAATATGTTTAGAAAAAAAGTGTGTCTCCCTAGCAAACAGCCGGCTGTGGAATAGTGTGAATGCTGTAGTAAGCTATAGGTTAGTGTTAATTCGAGAGTTGTGGACTGTAACCATTACCAGGTGGAGCTATTTATATACAACAGGATTCGGATCATTTCTTCTGTACAACCCGGATTCTTTGAGAATGGATTTCTCACCATGGACTTAGATTGTAAATCTGTACTTTTGTGAGTTGGTGAATGGTTTAAAATCTCATGTTAAACCTATAATCTATATATATGACTGATCCTCAGAGTTAGAAGTTGGTTGGTATTGTGTTTAGGAGGTTAAGGGTGCCTTATAGTTATTATCGGTGATGGGAAGGTTCAATGAAAATCCTCTGTCATTAACCTCAGATAGTGACAATATCAGTCTGAGAGGTAGGTACGGGAATGTTGATCTAAAATTAACGGCTGACAAGTGTTGTCACTGTGGTACCATTCACAACAAGTACAGTCGCAGAACGAAAAGTGAAAAACATAAACACAGGCAAACGCAGGACAGATTCAGACAAGCGGGTGGAAGAGACATTAACGAAAATGTGGAGAGTGTGAACAATAAAGATGGGAGGGACGTGAAATGTCGGGACCCGACTCGGACAGAATGTGTGTCTAATAGAAGTGGTCAATATTTAGCTAGTCAGGATCAGTCCTCTGGTGGTCAGTTAGTCTTTGAATCTTGTAATGACCACAACAAACTTACACCAAACCTGTGTGATGTACCTTTTGATAAGTCCACGGAGGAAAAGTATATTGAGGTGTTTGAATCAAATCGGGGGACGTCCAAATTCGCTCTGGATGGTATTTGTGGAGTGTAAGTATACTGCATAGGTACATTAATTATTGTACTTAGTAAAACAGATAGTATGTATGGTATAATGGTATTAAAGACAAATTCCTAACGTCCATGAGTTGTTTCTGTGCAAGAATGAAATACATTTCTATGTTTTTTTTTCCTAATTAAGCTAAATAGAAAAACTTTCACTTTTGAAAACACAAAATATATAGATCTGTTTCAGAGTAATAGATGAAAATTCTTGTTTTCCACAGACAGATTTTGATCATGAAATTGCTCAAATTTAATGGCCAATACTTTGTTCATTTAGATAGTATATCCATATCATAACAGAAAGTACTTCATAGATAGTTACACAGAAAGTAATTCAAAAGAGAGAGACGGGAGTAAATACACTTTCTAAAGTGTATATTTATGAATGCAGACATTTAAGGTCTCTTTAAAAGTAAGAAATTTTCATGTATAATTACATATCATTCAGTTTAAAGTTAGGTATAATATTATCATCCAGAAAAATTTCTTAACAATTTTTACTAAAAGCTTATATTATTGAGGTAATAAAGTATTGGGTTTAGATGCACTGATTTTATACCAGAACATGGATAGCCTGTAAGGTAAATGAAAAACCTAACCCTGATACCTGTTTACAGACAGTGGTTCGTAGGATAGGCTTATTTGTTTGTAAACATGCATTGTTGTTTGTATAAAATCGTTACATCAGCCGAGATCGATGACGTCAAACTCTACAAATCGCGTCAAATGGTACAGTGTATGTGCTTGGTACAGTACTGGAAATTATAAATAGATTCATGATCGGTGTACCTGAGCTATGGGACGTACTTTTCAAAAGTCTGAAATCAGATCTATTAATCTCCTATTGGCAACAATATACACCTTTCATATACAAATATAGAGTCTTTTGTCATATAGCCTAACTCTCATAGATAAAAAATAAAATTAATTGAAAACATTATTTGAACTTATTGACCTTGTGTATCACTAACTGACCCATGGTTATACACTGATTTACTGGTTTGTAATGTTGACAGTATTCATTATCATTATACATGTACTGTACGTCAGACTTCAACTGGTATATGATCTGTGAGGAAATGTAGGTCAAGAATTTAGTTTGGGGTGAATGACAATGTCAGGTATATATGGTTGTATGGGACCAGTATGTAGGACATCAACATGAATTCTGTTATATATACATGTATGTATATACATAGTTAGTCATTGTATACTATCACATATATAAAGTTAAGATAATATTATTATATGAACCATCAATTTAGCTTTGATTATGTAAATTTAACCCTATATATATATATAAGTACTGATGATATGAAAGTACATGTTTGTAGGTCGATTATTGTCAAGTCAGCACAATGACTATACAGCAGAAATCTTGACTTGTATCAGATACAATACACATGGTGTTGGTGATGACCCAGATACATAATGTATGTGTATGCGAGGGTGTGAGTATATGCCTGAATCTGATTGGTCAATTTATCTTGGTCAGAAATGGGAGTGTCAAATCGACAACTGTGACCCAGATGTTTTGTTGTTATATTAAGTCGGTCAAATACAAAAGGGGGCTTACTCTAATATTGTTACCTGTTACTGAAAGTGCTAAGATGCTTGCCTCCCTTCTTAATAAAAGCATGCATAGAATATCAATATGTTGGATGTATATGGTATTAAAAGTTATAGATAGAAAGAAATGTACAAGTTAAATTTTATAGATAGATATAATGGGTAAGATGTATTAACTATAAAACGTACCTAAATCATCATCAATTATCGTGTAAAACAGGAAATGTTTTGTTGAATAATTGCTTCAGTTAGAGAACACATTTTCTATTTGATTGATTCAATTTAGTTCATTAAAAACTTGTTTGTACTGATTAAAATTACATTCATGAAGTGAAATTGAGTTTTCTGAAAAGATGGGCCCATTTAAAAAAGAAATGTCTCCTGTGTATGTTTTTAGGGGTGTGAGCAGTGTGGTGCGTCGCTGCGTGGAAAAGGAGACGGGGAAAGAGTATGCAGTGAAGATCATCGACATCAGCGAGGAGAAACAACAACAGTATCAGGCCGAACAGACTAAACAAGACACCATCAGGGAGATCAACATTCTCAAGATGTGTTCTGGGCACAAACATATCAGTAAGCTTGCTTTGTTGTCGCCGATTCATCTCCACCAAGGGGTGATTTAGGCCAATCAAAAAATATTTGTTGTTTCCGGTAACCCTACCTACCCTAATTTTTGTGCCTACCCTTAATTAACTTTTTAAGGCAATTATCACAGAAGCATTGTTAAAGTCAAGATCACTCTCCTATATAAACCACAGTCAAGATCACTCTCCTATATAAACCACCGTCAAGATCACTCTCCTATATAAACCACATAAAATTATTTTTAAAATAAAACTTGTTATCTACCTACCAGAACCCTAATTTGTGCAACATGTTACAGGAAACACCTATTTTTTGGTCTGGCCTAAGCTATTAAAAAGATTATTTCAGAGGATTTCTCTTACCAAAACCAACATTTGATGACATTATTTCACTCGTCATTAATATGACGTCAAAATTTAACCACCTATGACGTCATAATTGAAAAGTCCTTTTAAAGTTGTTAGTTTCATGAGAAATGGTCACTTGACAATACAAGAAATATAAAAGATATATAGAGGTTTGAGCAGTGATTATATTTGATACAATATACATATTTATACAAAGTATACTATGGAACTTTGTATTGCTCCCATTATACACTTGCTTAAAGCGTGATATTATTCATCTTTGCTAGCCAAGGGTTACCATCGATCTTCCTACTCTCCACACCTGTGGGTAGATCGTACCGGATCGTAACCCTTGGCTAGCGAAGATGGAAAAACGCACTAAGTTGACATTTTGGAACTATAAATAAAAAATGAAAAATGACAGGTATTCATCTTGAACTTAGTAATGCATATCTGCTTTAATGACAATGGATTTTAGTATACTTTATAAGGAGGCACGGTAGTCTTTTGGTAATACGCCGGGCTCGTGACAAAAGGGTTGCGGGTTCGAGTCCCGTCATGACACTGTGTTGTATCCTTGAACAAGATACTTTACTCCGCTTGTTCCAGTCTACTCGGCTGTAAATGATTAAGTGGTTGGGCAGTGCTAGAATTGTTGAATGCTAGCTGTGAGCACCGAAATGGCAGCACCAGCTGTATATTCCCCAGGGAGTTGAGAAAGATATTGGCTGGTTGCAAAGGCCCCATTACCAAGGATAATAATTTGTGAACCGCTTTGAGACGACCTACGAACTAGGTTGTGATAAAGCGGTTTGTAAGAACCTCAAATTATTATTATAATTATTATTAATTTTCACTGAATCTGTTTTATCACATGATATACTGTGTACGTAATTATCCAGTGAATATACCCATGTCATATTTTTTTGCATATTAACCCATGTCATATGACCTATCAGCCATGTGATTGGTTGTAAGTTTCAATTGTTTCGATTGTGACGTGGCGTCTAGGACAAGTGAATGACGTCACAGACTTGTGCACTAGTAAAAATGTATTTTTACATTTCAACGTTGCATGAAAATTGTCGTTTTACATGAATAAATGCCACAAATCTTGATTATGTGATAAAAAGGATATCTTACACTCACTTTCATTTCATATGAAATTTATGAAACTCCAGAGGCTCGCTGAATTGAAAAGTTCTAAGACTCGTTTCATTAATCTCATATGAAATGGAAACTCATGTAAGATCCTATATGTATTCTTGACTTTTCTTATTGTATTAGACCAGAAATAACAGGAAATATTTTTTATGAAACTGTTAATTATATTTTAATGGCAGAAATTGTAACTTGTAAATAAATTTCAAGGAGCAGTGGTTATGGTATATATAATGGTGACAGACAGACTGGTAGGTAACTGATCATGAGTCATTCACGTGCCACCTACGCTCTCAACTTTCTTTACGCCCATACAAAACCAAACATTTCTGCATACCTGTCCGATGATAACTTATGTACATATATATGCCAAGTCGTGAGGTAACCCAGTGCAAACAAGTTATCACATGATTGTACATGATGTTTATATTGATTTTTTTTATTTCTTTTTCATTTCAGTTGAACTTCATGACTCATTTGAAACCAATACTTTCATCTTTCTAGTTTTTGAATTGTAAGTATAAGATGTCATATAAAAGCCAGCTCAAATTGTATTTTCTTGCTTGATGTTTTATAGCCTGCCCAATATAAGTAATATCACTTCAGACATGTCTAATGTCTTTCCTTAGTTTAATTACGAAATTTTGACTCAAGAAACATAACTCTTCCCATATGACACATCCCAGATTAATTACTTAATATTAAATTATACCTAGTAATTAAGGAATCATGATAGATTCATTCATATTCATGTCAATTAAACCATCATTCTGACATTTAAATAGAATTACTGACAGTCTAATTTTACCAATGTTTTATATAAAATTACCAAATTTGGTTTGCTTTGGCATGATAGAACTATACATACCTGTTAAATGTCACTCAATAGGCATGAAAATGTTAGGCACTTACTATATATTCTTTTCACATTATGCTGTCAATTAAAACAAGATATTCATATCAATTATATGCAACAAATTATTTTATCAAAATTAAATTCTACTTAAAGTGAAGTAATATTCAACAATTCTGCAAAAAAAACCCTAATTAATAAAGAAAACTTGAAAAAGCAAGTATCTATTAAGTTTTGCTTATAATTAATATATATGTCTGTCTTACATGTATATAAAATGCCCTAAATAAACTGTGAAAATACGATTCCATAGACCTATTGACAGTGATTTGACAGACAGATATACATTATGTGCTTGATACACTAGCTTTATCGTAACATAGAGGCAGAACTTGATGGAGTGGAATCGAAGTACGGAGTAAATCTGTCTGCTGAGAAAATAAAATTTGATGTAGTTACTACAGGGAAATTAGGGACACAAAGAGAATGTGATATATACATACTGACAGATTTACTCTGCCTCCAAGGCCAGACTTATAAGTCCTTCAGCCTTTTATATAGCACTTTCCCCATTCATACGTATACTGACCAATGGTCTTTAATGTCCTGCAGATCTCATCTAGAGGTGGTGTTAAATCACTGATGTATTACATAACGAGCCTGCAGGTGTTTCACACATAATAATTACACCCTATACATCAGTACATACACTAACACATAATTACGTTCTCATCTCCTCTTGACCATATGTCAGATCAAGGCTGTATATATTCAGGGCAAGGTCTTCTGGAGGTCAATCAGATTAAACGTCTATGCTGTTTAGAAGACATGGAGATCTATATACCCAAACCTTTAACCAGTAGACCATAAAAGACCAGTTCTAGACAATATATCAGGAAATTACGACTAAGCCTGTCTGCAGTTGGATTTAAGAAGTGTTACAACATGTGAAATGACAGTTGAGCAGAAATTTATAAAGCATACAAAGACTTAAATGTACAATAGATCAGGGTTTCCTCTTGAAACAGAATAGGAAGGAAATAAGATTCCTTTCGAAAAGAATGCATTTTAAGTGAGAAACGTATTCATTACTTTCAAAAAATCGTTTTTTTGAAAAATTGAATTGCAAAGAAAATACCTGTGTTTAAAATGACGGTGTTGTATGAATGTACACTTAGTGAAGGGAAAGTGGCTGCCGCAGGGACAAAACAGACATATGTTAGATCGGAACTAAACAAAGTGTTCAAATTATGTGGAGAGTACATGTACAAGGCAAGGGAATGTGACAAATCTACAAGTGACAGAAGGTAAATTAGGGTTAAAAAATTACTGTGATGTCTATCTAAATTATATCATTAAAAGATATTTCCATGTGCAGGGATTTCTTTTGGAATAAGGATGGAATACATAAATGGATTTATGATAGATTAATGTGTATGCATGTATATAATGTTTATATTTCTGTTTCAGATGTAAACAGGGTGAATTATTCGACTACCTCACACAAGTTGTCACAATGTCGGAAAAGAGGACAAGGTAAGTCTATGTCTGCGGAACAATTCCCATATATGAGGGGTATAGGGTTATGTGTCAAAGTTTTAATTGTCAGAGAGGAGAACAAGATCTGTCTAGAGAACTTCTCCAATAAAACAGTAGCATCATCTATAGAGTAGGGTAGTGTCACCAAATTAGAATGAAAAAAGTTAACAAAAACAGCAAATGAATATATATGCAAATGTCATTGGCTCTATATATGTGGGGATATATTATGCTCATTAAGACAGCTTATTTTGTAAATGTACAAATTATTTTTTCCTTTTTTTTTAAGATTTAAAAATAGTTTATGGGTATGAAGAGTTAACCCTTTCACCACTATGGACCACAATGGACTCATCCAGATAAATGGATGGTAGAGTCCACTCAAGTTTCCAAGGGGTGAAAGGGTTAACATGTTGTGATCTTACCACTGAAGTGAAATATTTACCGGATGTTGAGGATTTGATCACCTCTGAGTAATCTTTCTGTTTCATGTGTTATTCTTGGCTGTTGTTGGGAAATCAAGGACTTTTTTGGCGTTTCTCATGTTTTCGTCGTTTATTTTCAGAATCGTGATGCGACAATTATTAGAAGCAGTAGATTTTGTACATAAGAAAGATATAGTACATCGAGATTTGAAAGTAAGTACTGCATGGGAACATTTACATGTAATTTTTCCATAGAATATAATAGATAAGCTTACAGAAAGTTATAATATTTTATTTTTATCTTCAAAATCTTTTAGAACCTAAGAAATAGGAGATGCTTTTGATTACTGAGTCATATGTACATATATATCTATAAAATGAAGGGTTACATATCTAATACACTGACAAGCCAGGAATTTCTCTCACTAGTGTTTTAAATTTGATATCAGGAAGTGCAAACCAAAAGTGACATCTGTGATATTGATTTATTCATAAGAAGTGACAGCTGGGCGTCACCAGACATGTTAATTTGAGTCTGTCCGCTGAATGAGTTGGTCTGTCAGGTGGAGAGGAAAGTGAATCAGAGTTTTGTCATACATGTAGTGGTAATGTGATGTCAGACTGTACCAGGTGTCTCTTTGTCCCTGCCCCCTCCCCCCAATTACACTCTGATTTAAAGTTGTTATGTTGACAAACAGATGGTTCATTACAGCATTTCTGTAGCATACACCTGGATCAAATGTCAGAAAAATAATGACTAAAAAAGAGGTCTCATCAAATTTCTTTTAAGTTCCTACATGTGAATTTGCAGGAATTTTGCAGTTTTTCAAGATCATTGTAATCCTTATAACCCAAAATGATTATTAAAACATTTTAGATTGAATTTGTTTGAAAACACTTGTGAAGCAATTTATTATAAAAGATTTTTTCTTCCATTTCAGCCTGAAAATATATTACTAGATGATAATATGAACTTGAAGTTATCCGACTTTGGTTTTGCTACAGTTTTAAGTCCTAAGGAAGAATTAACTGGTAAGAACCGTCTCCTATACCATGTAATATTGTGATCAAAGGGAAGTAACTCAGTTATTAAAACGATCATAGGAAAACTATAATAAGAAATGTGCCTGATTTCAATTCAAGTCAGTTAACAGGTCCGCAGGTTGCCAAGCAAGGGTTGTAAATGCATGTTATTATGTATTCTGCATTATATATTTAAGTATGAGATTATTCAGTATTGTATAGTTATCCAAGAACCATACATCTTTATATAACTTAGCTTGTGTAAAGATCTAAAACATGAGAGAATGTTTTCATCTACATTGTCCTGTTTACATAAGTGAAGCCTGATGGACTTGTAAATATTGAGTTACCTTTTCATCCCTAAAGTAACATTGGAACCTTTCTATATCAAAGACAGGGCAAGTCCAGTTTAAAATCATAGGGGGAATGAGTTAACACATTGAAAGCATATATATATATAGTATTTAGTGGTTTCAGTGTTAGGTTTAGATAGATTTGTTCATTTTTGTACTTTACTTGCCAGAACTGTGTGGAACTCCAGGCTACCTGGCCCCTGAGGTACTGGCTGTCTCTATGTATGATGATGTGCCAGGGTACGGCCAGCCGGTGGACATGTGGGCCATTGGCGTTATCATGTACACCCTCCTGTGTGGAGCCCCACCGTTTTGGCACCGTAAACAGATGCAGATGCTGAGGATGATTATGCAGGCTAATTACCAGTTTGGTAGTCCAGAGTGGGATGACATTAGTCAGGGCCCTAAAGATCTGGTAAGTACAAATAGAGTCCCCGCTGATTTAAAACCTCCTTTTTTTCAGGTATTCACTGTTTTGAATTTTAGAAATTATCTGTTGATGTGTATATCTGAAAATGTTTATATTGTTAAAAACATCTGAAAGTTGCCCACTAAAAAGAAACAATAATATCTTATACACATGTAACACAAAATGGTTATTGGTAATTTTCAACTCTCATGAATCTCCAAAAATTTGATTCTGATTATGTAGAGCACTTTAATTTAGGAGTTGTTGTTAAGAGAAATAATTCTGAAAATCCTTCAAGACCACAAACAGTTAAAGTTAAAATTTCATTTGAATAAAGAAACAAATAAGAAAGGTTTCATATGATATATTGTTAACAATATATAATGCTCTTTGCAAATAAGGAAAATGGTCTGGATTATTAATGGAACTAATTTAATGAAACGTATCTGAGTTTAGAGAAATATGTATGTCTCACTGAATGTTTTATACTTTAAGATTGCCTCCTTGCTAGTCCTAGACCCAGCCAAGCGATTGACGTCGTCCGAGGCTCTGCAGCATCCTTACTTCAAACGTGAGGTAAGTACATCAACCACCTCAGGGCATCAGTCGACATCGCAAACATTGAACAGCGGTATTAGTCAAATATAGGGTAAAATCGTGAAATTTCAGATATACATGTGGAAAGATATCAAATTATTAAGAGTACCGGTAAATAACATTTTATAAAAAAAAAAAAAAAAAAAAATTATGCATACTTTATACTGTTAAAATTAGAATGATGTTTATATTGTTAATAATGATGCATGATTTATGAAATAGTCCATTCAAATGATTTGTGATTGATTTGAGTCATGAAAAGTCACAGATAAATGTGATTTACATTCATGCTATAAAACTAGGTGCCAATTTTACCAGAACATTTGATATTGATCAGAATGAGAACATTTATTGATAATAATTTTGCTTCTTTATTGCAGGTGAAACCTGTGGTAAAATTCCAAGCCAAGAAAAAGTTCAGGGTAAGTATTATGTGACCTGTTTCTTTAATTGTTTATTCAATTCTTCAGTAGATACAAATGTGCAAGATTGCAATAAATCTACCAAAACTATTCATTATTTATATAAACATGTAACTCTGTTGGGCTAGCTACAGAAATGTACTTAGTCTATGTTTCAGCAATATATAAAGGATATATGATAGTTTCCCCTTGAATACCATATATATTTCACTTGTACGGTAGAATATACCATTATTCTCACTCCTGCTCCGCACTTGGGAAAAATATTCGGCCAATCTTGTGGCTATCTGTTTTTACGTGTATTACATTTTAAAGTGAAATGAAAACATATTACAGTGAAATATTATTGCATTCACAAAGTAGGGGATTTGTACAAGAGCAGTCTTCAGTGTCGTATCTAAATGAAATCAAGCTGCGGCTTTCAATGCAGTAAATGGAAAATATCACTTTGATTGGTCAATCATCACATGTGAAATATAACATTCTATACCTCTTCACTGCAATGATGGAAGTTTTGGCCAAATTGATAACTTGTGATATTTCACTGGAATAACTGTAATAAATATACTTACCTGGTAATGTAATTATGTAATGTTGATTTGGTTTTAGATTTTTGTGCAAGCTTACTCTAATTTCATCAAATCATTAATTTGTCAATAGATAATAATGCAAGGTATTTGCTATCTCACAACAGTAAGGTTAATATGAAATGTATCTGATTCTATGTTTTAGGCAGCTGTGATCTGTGTTAACTTCTTCTTCCGCATGAGATTTTTCAAGAACAACCCTCCACCTATATCCGGCGAAGTGATGAATAACAATCCATATAGTGTCAAAAATGTCCGCAAACTCATCGACGGATGTGCATTCAAAATGTACGGACACTGGGTAAAGAAAGTGGACAATCAGAATAGAGCTGCTCTGTTTGAACATGCCCCGCGTAACGACTGGAAAGAACACCACGATTCTTGATTATTCTGATTATAGCTGCAAAATACTGCTGCTCCTTTGGCATTTATGTACCCACTTTGATTGGACGTAGACATGACAGAAAAACAGTGCTTCTTATTGGATAGATGTATGTGGAGAATGACACTACAATTATTGTTGCCAAATAACAATTATTGTTGCCAGATAAAATAAATGGAAAGTGAAAGTAGACTCCTCAAACTAAATGTGGTTATCACCCTGCTTTTTCTACACATCAAACCAAATGTGATATATTTGTATGTTTTCCCCTCATTTTGATATTCGGGAACTAAACCAGTCCCATTGATTGTGGTACATGTCCACTCTTGCATGTTTTAACTTGCATCTTTTAAAATCATTTTACATTATTTTTATCAGGTTTCAATTGTGATGCTTGACGAAAGTGACTTTAAGGCTTGGACATGAAATATGTTCATTTATATTTCATCATGTATAAATGATTTATTTATTTATGACTTTCTGTTTTTTTTATGTTTATTCATTTTATGAAATTAAATTTTTGTTTCATTTAAATTGGTTGCCCATAGCATCAAATTTAAAACAGTGTTACCCATTACTACCTGGTATTGGAAATGTTAATTTCTTTTCTTTCTGTTATCATGATAAAATGGTCTTTATCAGTGCTGGCCGAGGTATAGATACCCCAGGTTGTTATCTATATCAAGACTGTTATCTTAGTTAAATGTCGTAGTCAGTGCTGGCCTTGGTATAAATATCCCTGGTCATTATTGATATCCAGGTCGTAACAATGACAATCGTTCGTTTCGGGCTGGTGTGAACATTTATCGTCGTTGTATAAATGTGATGTGCTAGTGTTATCTTCTGTGTTGCACAATCTCCGTGCACTTGTAGGAGATTGGTTTTTGATGACTTCCGTATAGATTTAGTCTTCCCAACTTTGGAAGAAATAAATAACCGGTGAAGTACAAAAATGTATTACGTGTCAATTGTACTACCTTTTTTGCCTATCAGGGTCAATAACTCATTCCACTGTATTTAGTGTGACCCTTTAACTGTTTTGCTTGTGCTTTTGAATCTGTGACCATTGTGTAGTATTTTTTGACATCATATGAATGTTTGTTTCATCAGGATCCCCACTGTTCCACTCATGATTTGAGACATAAGTTTGAGCTCAGCTGGGCCAATGCACCATGAGAGCTCAGCTGGGCCAATGCACCATGAGAGCTCAGCTGGGCCAATGCACCAGGAGAGCTCAGCTGGCCCAATGCACCATGAGAGCTCGGCTGGCCCAATGCACCATGAGAGCTCGGCTGGCCCAATGCACCATGAGAGCTCGGCTGGCCCAATGCACCATGAGAGCTTATGCCATGTGGCATTGTCTTCTGCTGTCATCCAATTTTTCCTTGGCAACTTATAATTACCATCAAAGTGTTTAGAGAAGTTGCTTTGCTCCAGGGGCACTGTGAGATTGGGGGCAAAAAGGGGTAATTTGGCTACATTGCCTGAAGCAGCTTCTCCCCTTGAATTTTGTAATTTATAATATATCAACCACATTCAGTCCAAGCATCCTCGGGTGTTGATTATGAAAAAGTGCTATCAGAGGGGTAAAAAAGAAAGGGTAACATTTTGGAAATAGAAATTTTGATTGAGATCCTCACACTTAAACTCCATATATAATGGCTGAGTATGCAGAGGCACTTTGGGTCCTGCTTGTCCTTGGGTCATAACATGAAAATGGTTGAGATCCCCAACCTGTCACTCTAACTTAATAATAAAATAATATAATAATAATAACTCTGGGTTTTTATATACCGCTTTATCACAACCTAGCTCGTAGGTTGTCTCAAAGCAGTTCACAAATTATTATCCATGGTTATAGGGCCTTTGCAACCAGCCAATATCTTTCTCAACTCCCTGGGGAGTATACAGCCGGTGCTGCCATTTCGGCGCTCACAGCTAGCTGCATTCAACAATTCTAGCACTGCCCAACAACATACTCATTTACAGCTGAGTAGACTTGAACAAGCGGAGTAAAGTATCTTGTTCAAGGATACAACACAGTACCGTAGCGTGACTCGAACCCACAACCCTTCGGTCATGAGCCCGGCGTCCTACCACTAGACTATCGTGCCTCACACTTCAGTTGTTAAGCATGAAGAGAGAAATACACATATGCGATCAGGATTGGCAAGGGGTCTTGCCTTGCCCGTCGGGACTTCGTCCTTGTGTAGAAACATTTAAGGTCCCCACACTTGACCATACATACAATTGCTTGGCACAATGAAACCAATACATATATACTGTATGTACCTAGGTTTGGCCCTGGTTTTGGTCCTTCACTGGGTTATAAAGTGGATATGGTGGAGATCCCACCTCTATTATCATATAAACAACTGCATGAAGAGACATTCACATTCATAATACATGCATCAAAATTGGTCATGATGTCTGGCCTTGCCCCAGGGGACTTCACCTCTTGGTCATAATAGACAGTTGAGATCCCCACCCAATAAGTAGGTGCTTGCTGGAAAATCAGAGAGTAACACAGTAATGTTACCTAGATAAATATTGGGGTATGGCCCCGACTCGGGGAACTTATTACAGATATGAGTATGTTTTGCCACCTTCGCTTCAATACTCATGTGAGCAATACAGGCGTTAATTAAGGACCTCTCTTATTGAACCACTGTGTAGTACAAGTATTATTTTACACAAATGCATGTTTCCTCAGTTTTTCACCCTTCCAGAGATATGTTTATCGTGTAATGCCACCACAGATACGATCTTTTGAGGGAACAAAATTCTCTTTTCAAAACTCTAGGAACAAAAAATGCCATGTGCAATCTAGAGGCAGTCATTTGTATTGAAAAAATGGACTTGAATCTGGAATTATGTGAAGGATGTGGAATCTTCAATTATTTTTTTTGAAATGTGATTTCTGGAAAAATTGTAGTTACATAGACTTTTTCAAAATTTTCTTAATAAATCCCTCAAAAGATAAACTTTCAAGTAAAATAATGGAAATTAATTCGCTGCATAAAAACAACACAAATATGCTGGTAGATGTAATAGCTGTAAGAGCTGTAAGCCATTGGTATTATGCGAGTTGGTTTAGGGACAGTATATTCCGTGTTGGATGTAAGCGCTATACATGTTTTATATGCTGCTAGCTTGTGGTACATGTGTGCGAGAGTCTTCATGTTGCTGTGTAATCCAAAAACCTGAAAAATAGAGATTTCTACACGCTTGTGTTGACAAGAATAAATTTTAAAACATTTTGATTTTGGTTGTAATTGTTTGTTCGTTTGATGGATAACCCTTTGAGTGTTGAAGTGATCAACAGGTGATGAGGGGTGGGGTCCACATCTGTTATGTGTAGGCATATATGTTAGCTCTTGTCTTATGTAGCTACAAATAAAGGAAGTATCTGCAATATTATGTTTGGTAGAAATTTTCGGCGGGTTGTAGTATTGTGTAATGAGAGTATAAACTTTGACTTACTTCTTTTACTTACTGTTGTAAAATTTGACAATGTCTCATATGCCGAAGATTTTCATTTAGTTCCTATTTATGTACATAGATCATGTATATATAATAGGCTTCTCCACCCTTATGTTGCTATGCCTCTCTCTACTTATTAGCTCACCTGGTCCGAAGGACCAAGGTGAGCTTATGCCATACCGTGTCGTTTGTCCGTCGTCCGTCCGTATGTCAACAATTTCTTTAAACGACTTCTTCTTAACCACTGATTGGAATTCAACTAAATTTGACCCCCCAGGGGGCTGAGGGTCGGGGCCAAAAAGGGGCAATTTGGCTATATTGCTTTAAGCAACTTCTTCTCTGGAACTAAGAGATGGATATCAACCATATTTGACTGGAAGCATCCCTGGGTGGTGGGGATTCAAAATTGTACAAATGATGGGGCTGACCCCCCAGGGGGCTGAGGGGTGAGGCAAAAAGGGCAATTTGGCTATACTGCTTTAAGCGACTTCTTCTCTGGAAATAAGAGATGGATATCAACCATATTTGACTGGAAGCATCTCTAGGTGGTGGAGATTCAAAATTGTACAAATAGTTGGGCGGGGCCAAAAGGGGGCAATTTGGCTATATTGCTACGAAGACTTCTTCTGTAGAACTGTGCACTGGATATCGTTCATATTTGATCAAAAGCATTCATGGGAGGCAGGGATTTAAAATTGTACAAATGGTGTGGCTGACCCCCCAGGGGGCTGAGGGGTGGGGTCAAAAAGGGTTATTTGGCTATATTGCTTTCAGCGACTTCTTCTCTGGAACTAAGAGATGGATATCAACCATATTTGACTGGAAGCATGCCTAAGTGGTGAGGATCCAAAATTGTACAAATGGTGGGGCTGACCCTCCAGGGGACTGATTGAGCGGCCAAAACGGGGCAATTTGGCTATATTGCTATAATCAACTTCTTCTGTAGAACTATGCCATGGATATCGATCATATTTGGTCGGAAGCATTCATGGGAGGCAGGGATTCAAAATTGTACAAACAGTGGGCGTGACCCCCCAGGCTTAGGGGTCTGGCCCCACCCTTGGAGACATAGTCCCTGGGCCATAACTTTGAAACGGATGAGATCCCCACCCCAAAACAATAGACCCTGAGGTCTGACCGAACCCCTAGGGACCTAGTTTCTTAGTTACAGCTTGGAAACAGTTGAGATCCTCACCCTATAACCATATATACAATTGCTGAGTATAAAGAGATGAATGCACTTATGCTTCCAGGATGGCCTTGGGGACTACCCCACCCTTGGATACTTAACCCCTGGGCCATAACTTTGAAATGGTTAAGATCCCCACCCTAAAACTATATATACAATTTTTGCATGGCATAAAGAGACAAATGCAGTCATGATATTAGAATTGACCCCAGGGTCTGCCCCACCCTTGCAGACTTAATCCCTGGGTCATAACTTTGGAAGGGTTGAGATCCCCACCCAAAAACTATTATACAAATGCTGGGCAAAAAGAGACAAATGCAGTCATGAAATTAGATTTGATCCTGGGGTCTGGCCAAAACCCTAGGGACCTAGTTTCTTAGTCACAGCTTGGAAACAGTTGAGATCCCCACCCCATAACCATACGTTTAAATTGCTGGGCATGAAAAATCTATTACAGATATGCTACAAGGATTGGCCTTTGGTTTTGGCATATTCCCTTGGATCTCATTTGGAGAATATTTTGCCATGATTGCTTAGATATCCAGGTGAGAGATACAGGCCCTTTGGGCCTCTTGTATTAGGCATACAGCTTGCTGGAGCAAATGGCTATAACGTTTGTTCAAATGAATAACCTTGACATTCTTTCAAGGTCACAGGGCTCAAATGTATTAAACATTTTTCAACAACTTCTTTTAAGCCAAGAGTTATATGACATTCGTTCTTGGCCATTAGTATGCTGGGATGAAGGGCTACAATGCTAGTTCAAATGAATGACCATGACCCGCTTCCAAGGTCTGAAGGGTCAAATATGTAACCATCTTTTACCAGTTTCTTCTGTGTGTTGAATAGGCTAGTAGGGAGAATACCTCTAAGGAAATTAAAAGGCATACAATAATAACACTAATACACAATAATTCATATGACAATTTATTTTAGACTTTGAACATAATTTTATACATAACTGTTTATGCATTACTATCACAGGTATTGTTTTAGCACTTGAGACTTTTTATGTACATTTATAAACATATCACTATAATAGTCTCTCACACAAGACAGCCCTACACAGATTTTTTGAAATGTCGGAATTTAAAGTAAAATGCAAAAATAAGCTAGACTGTATATGTGAAGACGTATAATGGTATTGCAAGACGTATAATGGCATTGCAAATTTAACAATATCAACAGGGCAGTCAAACATCAATATCAATGTAGCCACGATACATTCTCACAGCAATTAACACCATATCATCACATGTATTAGACGGATAATTTTGGGGTTTTTGAAATGTGAATCGAAGTAACAGTCTCTAACTGGTGTGAAAAAGTGTATAATAATAATAATTTGATGTTCTTATAGTTCGGAGGTCGTCTCAAAGCGGTTCACAAATTATTATCCGTAGTTATAGGGCCTTTGCAACCAGCCAATATCTTTCTCAACTCCCTGGGGAGCATACAGCTGGTGCTGCCATTTCGGCTCTAACAGCTAGCTGCATTCAACAATTCTAGCACTGCCCAACCACATACTCATTTACAGCTGAGTAGACTGGAACAAGCGTAGTAATGTATCTTACTTACAGATACAACACAGTGTCGTGACGTGACTCGCACCTGCAACCCTTCGGTCATGAGCCCAGCGTCCTACCACTAGACTACCGTGCCTCATAAATATATGTATATATATAATCGATTCAACTAACATTTTATCTTTGAAAAAGTGTCAAAGTAAGGACATCATTTTGAAAATTAGGATGCAACAAATACACAATTCATCCTATCAACAAAGTATGATCTGGTCCTATTTAAATTGGCACATTATCCACACGTATACGACGCAGTATGACCGTCTAGTTCACCACTTACACCTCTCGATCAACATGCATTGGTATATGTATACTACCATAGATTTTGATACACAACACAAATTACCAAGACAATGTTTTTCTCATTCATTGTCTTGGCCTTTAAGTGGTACATATGCGACCAAATTACCTAGCGATTTATAATGCACACACCGTACATGCAGATAAAAAAAGAACTTGGGTAAGTGAGTTTTTGTCCTATGATACAGCCTTGCATTGGATCTCACCCATTGACAAAACTTTACTAAATTTCTATTGTGTTGTGTTTTAAATACTACAGTACTCGCTAATACACTTCTAAGAGGTTATATTGCGAAAACTTGCATTATCGAGTCATTACGATTACAGGACTGACAACAACAGCAAATTGAGGCAAGTACCGCATGATTTTGAACCTACTACAGTGGAGTTTGCTTTAGTGGGAAAATTGAAAGGCTCTTCAAAAGCTAAGCCTAGAGTTTTACCTTATATTGAATCTGACGTTTATACCCTACTCCTTGTCCAAAATGAAAATGACAACAAACTATGTTTCTAGATAGACGCATGGATCGAAAATAGGACATCTAAAAGCGTCAATGTAATTAATAATTATAGCATCACTATATTTGAAAACAAGTTGTTCATGTCATTCATGATAAATACACCGGTGTAAGATTAGTTGGTCAACAGGCTGGCCAAAGTTACAAAATTATAATCGGACACATAGAATTGCGGAAAAATTCCTCTCCCAATGTGCAACACATCAGGAAGTGGATAACTCTAATATATACACAATACGTGCGCTTTAAAATGCGGGTAAACTTTTGATGATAAGAACATGCTCAGTAGAGATTCAAAATAATGTTACAATCATATCGGAAACACTCAGATGTGATTTGTAGTGTTGTTCACACATGAATGCGTGACAGAACTAATGAACTTGAACAGAGTTCCACCAAATAGAGTTAACTCATTCACCCCTGAAATTTCATAATGAACTATCCCAACCTTTGAATTGGTAGAGTTCAAATGTGTTTTCAGGGGTGAATGTGTTAAACATATACTTATGGTGCAAACACTTTTTGAAAATTCTTGTTCAACCCTTTCACTACTGTGGACCATAATTGAACAATCCAGATCATTGCAAGGTAGAGTCTACTAAAGTTACAAAGGGATGATGAAAGGTGTTAAAGTAAAGTTTAAATTTAGTCTGTATGTACCACTCAAAGTTCAGTAAGACTACCGATGGAAACATCCTGACACAACAACAGGTTACCCTTCTCATCAGCCAGGGCCTTTATAACGTCCAATAGCAGGTCTTTACTGAGTCGACGGATCTCTGGCAGACGAGCCACCTACAATGGAAGGTAAGTATTAGAGAATAGGAAATACCCCGCAATTAACACCCAAGTAATGAGACGTGTTCAATAGAACAATATCACAAAGATCTTAATACATGGACCTGTTTACTACTGCCAAAATCTTCATCAACATTCTATGAAATTACTGTAATAACCTGTTGTTGTTTGTTTTCATATTCCTAAAATCAGATTTAAATAGGCATTCAAGTTATTTCGATTATAACCATGCAACAATTTTCGTCATGAAAAGGAAAAAGTATACAGTTTACCAGCAAATTTTCACTGCAGTATAACTTTCGACTTTTTCCGCCCTACGTAGTTAGAGCAAACTTACCATAACAACAAAAATTAGTAAACAACATAATATGACTGTATAGTTAGAAGACAATTGAAGGGCCAAATTAAGACTTTGTGAATATAGAGTTAAACGACGAAGGGCGAAAATTTGACTGGGCGATAGTTTCATGGTATTCAGTATTAATATTACAGACAGGAAGTTGGTGATGTTGTAGCATATATTACAAACAGACAGATTACCTTGGTAAAGTGGTGCACAATCAGATTCAGGGCATGTTTCTTCATGTCTAGTGCCTGGATCTTGTCAGCAGCCTCTAGAATCTGTAACACATAATTTTTGGAATTTGAAATGTTGCATAAATTATGCAAACGTAAGGCAGTTGATTGGTGCAACGACAATTATATTGTTTCATTACATACATGGAGTTCCACACACATGACAAACAATAACATAATTATTAATTTGTTCAATAGGAGGCTGAGCTTCATTGAAACTCCGATTCAACTGTTATTTCAGTGATGCACTCCGCTATTACAAATGATTTGACAATTCAAATGGTGTCACGTAAAGAGCCTTCGATTTTGTAATAATGTTTTCCAAGGACTCAGAGAACGTATGTGCATTGAAAGCACAGCCTTGGACTTTGAAGATACCCCTGGTACAGACAGCTAACAAAGTCGAATCTTCTTATAATAATAACAATAATTGGAGGTTCTTATATACCGCTTTATCACAACCTAGTTCGTAGGTCATCCATAGCGGTTCACAAATTATCATCCGTGGTTATAGGGTCTTTGTAACCAGCCAATACATTTCTCAACTCCCTGGGGAGCATACAGCCGGAGCTGCCATTTTGGCGCTAACAGCTAGCATTCAACAATTCTAGCACTGCCCAACCACATACACATTTACAGCTGAGTAGACTGGAACAAGCGGAGTAAAGTATCTTGCCCAAAGATACAACACATTGCCGTGCCGTGGCGCGAACCCGCAGCCCTTCGGTCACAAGCCCGGCGTCCTACCACTGGACTACTGTGCATTATACTTTCTATAAGTTCCTCAGAATGTTACAGGAAAGTGTATTTGTGGTTTTTTTTTTTTTTTTTCATACTCCTAACGATAAACATGCAATGTGTTTAATTATGGGTGAAATTTTGAAAAATGTGTTGAACTATTTTCAAAATAAATGTACTCCTATAGTAAAAGATTAATATCAGCTTGTACACATGTAGTCTGTAAGTAAAGCAGGCTTTGAGTACGGGCTACCGTGATGGAAACACAGTTGAATAAATAACATACCTGTACAACGTTTTGAACCGTTACATTTTTCTCAAGGTTGTGTTTGCAGAAAGCCTGTAAATAGAGAAATATTTTCATCTTTAGTACACTGGTAACAACACAAACAAAATGTATGATCTTTATAAACCCTGTTATAGATATTGTCTACAACAAAACAGACGTATAACAACTCAGTCTAACATTCTCTACAAATAGATTACGATAAACAGAAGATTACTTTATAACAGGTTATTTTCCTAACATTTAATTTTTTGTTTTTCTTGTTGGCATTTTACATGAAAACAACCGTACATGGATATATCTTTGCCACTGCAAAATGAAATATAAATGCAGTACCCTGAATCTGTAATTCCAAACCTAGAGCACGAAAACAACTCATCATAAATTTAACCTGCGGTACAGTATCAGTACTAACAGTGGTGATATATTGTTTTCAGTTTATAGGTCTCTTGTTTCAATAGAGATATACCTCGAAAACGTTGATCTTGTTTCCAGGGAAACCTATTCTTGTCTCCATGGAGACTTTTCTTGTTTAAACTGGATTCACTTGACTATTCAAGATTAATTTGTTTTGAAGAACAGTAGCCTGGTTTGACCAGACTTTGACAGGGAAATTACTTAGCAACTGTATATCAAAGTTTTACTTTATACACAAATAATTTACGTATCAAACGTGTCGCAACGACCCGGGACGAGTGACATATGGAATATACAATTTCATCACAATACAAATCGCTCACTCAGTCATAGCTTGACAAAGGAAACAATCGGTCTTAAAACGCCAGGTTTGGTATGTACATTGTTTGTGTATAACGTAAAACTTTGATATAACATATTTCCAAACTGATGAATCTTATTTAAATATCAGTAAGATATTTTTAGACTTGAGAATTATACCAGTTGCTAATCAAGATATTCAAAGAATGCTGGAACAAAATCAGGGTTACACATCTTAAATCTCACCTGTAGTCTATTATTGGAGAAGCCGTAAAAGAAGGGGGCGGGGAAGAGGTAGAGCGAGTCCTCCGGTGGCATTATTACATCTCCGTAGTAGATGTATCGTAGCAGGCTATTGAACGCCTGTCGGGACGGTACCATCTCCCCAATGGCTATCTGGATGTGACAGAATGTACTTTTGTAAGACAGATCATCTATCAAAATATTTTTTTCTAGAACTTCTGTATACTGGATAATTTGCACCGTCTTAACTTCCCTCTTTTTCACTCTCCGTAATGAGGGTGTATTTATCATGACAAGGAATATTAGCACACACCAATAGCCTAGTATATCACATATACACCAATAATTACATGCCAAAGGCAAAATTAATACTAAATGAATATGGATTTTACTGGAAAAGGCTGAACATTTGACTGTCCTAAAAGGTTCCTGGTACAGTATATAGCTAGTTGTATAGGAAGAGTCCGGCATGATTATCAATGCATCCACAATGTAAGACACAGTATTTTTTTTTACTTCTGATAAACACACAGGGGCAGTTCCAGTATCACAAAAGTTATCATTCTGAATTTTCATATTCTGATTTGAGTCACAGGCTATGATATATTATCTCAAGTGTCAAATATATTGAAGGGATGCATTCATTTGTCACACTTTTGATTTACAATGGTGAATTAATTTTTAATGGTGAATGAATTTTTAATAAAAGCTACATCCGGAGCAACTGACATAGAATCGTTGAAATTTTAGAACACCAATGTGTATGTTAATAACATTTTCTGTGTTCAAACCTTTTGTGAGACACGGCTCAAGTAATTAAAACTGGAACAAATTATAAGTATAAAAATGGAAAGTTATAACAGAAAGGCTAGGGGGGGTGGACCTTACAGGAAATGAGAAGGAGGGCACCTCTGCTTTACTTACCGTGACGGTATCATCGTTAGGTTTCCATCTAAACAGAGATTCAAAGTAGCTACACCTCGCTGCCAGGATGGCCTTGTGAGCTCTGATGGGGACACCATCTAGCTGAAGTGTGATGTCACAGAATTCCTCCCCACTACCCTTTAGGAACATCTCCAGGTCCTTCTCTAGGGAGTGATCTGATAAGACACAAAGTATTGTATACTGTATAGATGTTAAATTTCGCGATTTTTGTCCTGAACTTATACGTGGAGGTTTAATTTCTTGAATCACAATTTCTGTAAATTTATTTCGGAACACCTTGCAAAGAGTTCCGAGTGATTGTTACTACTATGCATGCATGGTTTCGTTGTGAACCACGATACAGTTAGACTGATAGATTTATCTATTGTGTATGACTGATTTTTTATTTCTATTTCAATTCATCTGTTAACTTTTTTATCTACATGTAGTGTACTTCTTTCAAAACGATGTTTTGACCTAGTAGCCTCAGCTCAACTGATATCACGGACGTGTGAAGCGTGGATGTTATCACGACAATCTCAAATATTCACGAGGGTTTTAATTTCGCAAATATTAACACACTCGCGAAATTAAAACCCTCGTGAATATTATCAACTAAGAATAGTCAATGTGATGTGATAGCAGATGTACTACTTATGATTCCAGTCTGATTTATAGTATCAAGGTTAGAACCATCTCTAAAGCCCTACTAACTGAACACCCACAAATCTGACTCTAGATCAGCGACGACATGTACAGTAAACCTTTACACTTCAGCAGTAGGACCGTGATGTAGGCTGTCAAACCCATAATGTACATGTCAGCATCACAAGTTAGATTGGCATGGAATGCATTGTAACAGCAATATGTTACGTAGATTTGTACATTTGAAATTTTCCACCAAATGTTGCAGTCCCATTGCTAAAGTAAAACTCTGTATCGTCAATATTTTTTGTTTACAAGGTAAAATATTTGATCAACTTTTTAAAACTTATCAATTATGGACTTTTACTGAGGTGAATATGTGGTTATATAGACCTTAGAAAGTGATATTGACTGAGATGAAGTCATGGTTAACATCACTTTCTCAGGTTCATCTAATCACATATTCACCAACATAAAATTCCTTGATTTTTATATTAGATACTTAATAATGTTGTGATCATTAAACAAGGTGGAACGTATGAAAATTGTGTGGAGCAAAGTGCTGCACTTGTAAGAGAGCATTGTGATTTTACAATTGAAATGACAACATAAAGTGAATACAGACCTGTTGTTTCTAAAAATGGTAACTCCGAGTCAATATCACATATTACCTAACCTCCACGTGATTATAATCTAACCAATTAGGATGTAGCAAAAATGTGTGTCATCTAATATATATAATTATATCATTACCAAAAACATTGCACTTAAAATGTATATTGTATAATATTGGAACCAAAATGAAGGTATGTTTATTACTGATATTATAAAAGTATGAAACAGTTTCATTTAATCGACTCGGTAATTATTTACTTAACAGCAATGTTATAAAATTTCAATGAAGCATTACCATAAACATGTTCGGGTTGTGGGTCCGGCATCATACGAGCGCATGTCTGTTGAGAAAGCTTGCGTCGGATAATCTCGACCATGAGAGGTTTGTCTATGTCCTCAAACTCCTTACTCATAACGATCATATTACAGTTACTCTCCTTAACAATGAACCTGAGGCAGTACTCCTGGAAAATAGTCATGTGTATCAAAGGTTAACTGATCTGTGAGCAAATATTTAAAATCTCTACTTTTATTAATTCTTTCCTGATAAAGGGACCTGTTTATACATGTATTATTTTATAAATGGAGAAATCTTCATTTTTTATATAATTTCAAAGCAGATTTTATGGATGGTGTGCCAGTGTGGTGTGTATAGTTAACCCACCATTTCACAGTTTGAAAAAATGTGTACATTATATCAGTCTATTATCCAACTTGCTGAACTAATTTGTGTGTTTCAGAATGTTCCCAGATGTATTCTTATGTATTTTTCAATAATTTGTTGCTGTAAATCACTTTAATTCGTGAATACTAATTTTCATGATAATTCATCTTATCTAACAGCATATACATTTTGTACTTGTGAGGATTAAACTCACCAACAAACAAAAGCTGATCTTGGAAATACAAGAGATATCAAGTAAGTTAACCTAACCAGGCTAGTACCAATTGACCATCTGACTGACTGGATCACTTCATAAAGTCTCAAAAATTGTTTGATTACACAAAGATATAGCCCCTCGTTGCACTTACCATGATTTTAGAGCAGAAATTAAAGTTTCAAGGGCCAAAACTCCAGGAAAAGTAATTGAATGAACAATTCCTTTCTTCATGCACATTTACAGATGACATACTTAAGCTGTGCCAAGTTACAAAAAAAATCAACAAACTGTTAAGGAGGAGTTGTGCTTACAAGGTTTCTGGAGCAGAAAATTTAAAGGGCCATAACTCTATGAGTAATAGTCCAAATGCCCATTCCATTCTTTATGCACATCTACATACATACAATATACTTCACTGTATAAAGTTTAAAAAATATCCAACACACAGTTTAGGTGAAATTGCACTAACAAGGATCATGGACAGACAGATGGGAGATTCCTATATATATACCTCCCCCTCAAACTTCATTTGCCGGGGGCATTTAAGACAACCAAACTTGAAGGTCAAATCAACAACTTATGTTCCAAAGTATAACCAGACAGATGGGGGTAACAACTGAGCTGGCAGATACTGGACTGAGCTCCAGTGTGTGATACTGGACTGAGCTCCAGTGTGTGATACTGGACTAAGCTCCAGTGTGTAAGAGAAGATCTGTTTGTAACAGGTTACCAGTAATTAGAATTAATTTGTACTTTTTATTATTTTTACTATACCTTAAGAAAGTCCAAACTAAGCTTGGATGCATTCTGGAGTGCTACAAGCACATTCTTGTGCCCTATGCTAGCCTCTAGGTACTGGACACAGAGCTCCTCTAAACGCCTCATCTTGAACTGTCAAAATATAAATGTCATCATTACATGATTATAGTAAAGGGAATTGATGAAGACGTATGTCCACAAGGAATTTTGCACCTCTCAGAGTTCATCTGGTGAATGTATAATTATATATATGAATTATTGTATTGGCTTTAGGCATATTTTCCTGAAATACAGATTTCAACCTTACACAAAATTGAATTCGGATAATCAATCAAAAAGCAAAGACAGGAAGCAAGAAGATTGAATTCTGCCAAATCAGTCAAGATAAATTCTGGTAAGCATGCAATGCCTTACAGAAGACTTGACTCTGGTAAATCTAGGAAAGTGGCATTACACATACAGCTATAATTTAATCAGAAAAAGGCATCGAAGATTCTGTTATTTTGGATACCAAAGTGCTTCTGCAAACATGGTTCCACATCAATTATAGTAAATTAGTCTAAATAGTTGTTAAATATTTGTGTGATTGAATTTTGTCAATTCTGACCATGAACCATCAAAATTTTATCTTTATTCATGAAATGAAAAGATAAATGTAATAAAATACTAACACCAGGTACTTAACCTTCGATTTATAAAATTGTTTACACTCACAATAGCCTTTTTATTACTGTAGACTTTAATGGACTCATCCAAATCAATACATGGCCGAGTTTAGTAAAGTTACATAGGGGTGAAAGGGATGGTTTTGCATTTTTATACCCACAAATATCAATAACTAGACAAAATCTGAAAGTTTGAAAGTGAATTGATTCGAGAACAGACCTGTAGGGAGAGTCTGTACACATCCATCATCAGTAGGATCACCTCGTTACTGCTGTGTTCCTGTCCTACAAACATAACCAAACTTATTGTTATGTGGTAGATTTTTATTGTACATAGAATTACAGTCGCCTTCTCGCTTCATGCTAAGGGCAATATTCCTTTAGCTCAGTAATAGAGTGTTCGATAAGGAAGTTCGGGGTCGCAGGTTGGATCCCCGTTGGAAGCACACTATTCTCTTTTCTATAACAGTTATATATATATTGTCAACATTAAATTTCAACATCTGTATCTCATGCTGCAGGTTATCTCCAACTGAATACAAGTGGCCAACAGGTATCACACCAGTTTAAGAGGATACAGGTTTTAAAACGTAAAAAGCAGTAATTACAGTATATACTTATAATTATATGTGTGGTGGGGGTATGATACAATTGTTAACATATGTATAGTGGTGCCCAGGAATAAATTAACTCTGACTGGTAGGGGCCCAAAGCGATAGTGAACATTGTAACCACAACAAGAGTTCTGGTGACTCAGATGCTTACAAATATCGATACCTCTAAAGTATACATAATGATTGTGTACTTACTGTCGCCTGTAGGCATAATCTTGTCTGTGTAGATATAGGATAGCACCATGACAAAGGCTGTTGGGTCGGCATCGGGCAGCTTCACCTGTATAGACACTTTGTTCTCTTCTGTTTCATCTTCTAATAAATTCTGGTAAACAGAATGTCAAATGTAATAATTTCACATCTAATATATTCCAAACATAACAATGTGTGATAGTGTCATGTTATACTTGCCAACTTTCTAAAATTTCCGTGGGGGAGATCACGCGCACCCTAGGGAAAAACAGCACTTTTAAATGGCATCTTTGGAGCTGTTCTTTCAGATGAAATCATTATATCTTTGAAAATAGAAATAATTAGCAAATTCAATAGGGAGAGTTGGCAAGTATGTCATGTGACAATTAATAAATAATAATGGAAAATCATCTATCAGATAAAGTTTGATGTCATTATAGTCCTATTTGAAAATGATGGAAATGTTGATCACATCTTTGCTATACCTGTTGCCTGGCAACTCTAATTTTTCCTTGTAGCCATAGCGACCTGGCAGCCACCAGTGTGATGTGAGCTGGGATGATTTCCTCCTCCTGAAAAAGGAACAAAAGAAACTGTCAGCGATCAGGACCATAGGGCTACATTCGCGTATCCCGGTTGAAACGGTACGTATTCCTATATAGAGTAACCTCCCCTTAAGGGCTCCTGTCCCACTACACTGTGTTTATTCCTATATACAGTTACCTCCCCTTAAGGATGTACTCTTCTGAGGTTTCAGTCACGTTCAAGTCTCGTTTTGATCTGGTGTAACGGGTTTTTGTAATATTTATCCAATTATGATAGGTTTAATAGCAAACACACATCTGAAAAACATGTAAAAAAACTAGATGTCTGTTGTGTGTAGAACATTTTTTACAAGAATTTGAAAGAAATGATCAATTTGGCGGCCATTTTGAAAAAGTGTATTTATGTGAATTTCTTGCGCTTCACAAAGGGCAAAATTTTACCATTTTTGACACTAGATTGATCACTTAAATTGTCATTGTGTCACAATTTTTAAATGTACCAGGTTCAATTTTGCTGTACAACTTTATAATGTTCAATATGATTAAAATAATATGCAAAAAAAGTGGAAAGTTATATATTATTGGTATTTTTTTTACATATTAGGGTAACTGAAGCACTTTTGATTTTTGACCCCGAAAAAGGAGAAAAATAACACAAATAATAATGGGACAAAAAAAGAAGCACACCGTGTGGCTGTTTTAGAAAGAGAAACACAATTTCTTTTTATTCATTGAATACCAAAAAAAGTTTAATACAGGAAATTTTTGACTTCTCAGAGGTGTACATCCTTAAGGATCCCTGTCCCACTGCACTGTGTTTATTCGTATATACAGTTACCTCCCCTCAAGGATCCCTGTCCCACTGCACTGTGTTTATTCTTATATACAGTTACCTCCCCTCAAGGATCCCTGTCCCACTGCACCGTGTTTATTCTTATATACAGTTACCTCCCCTCAAGGATCCCTGTCCCACTGCACCGTGTTTATTCTTATATACAGTTACCTCCCCTCAAGGATCCCTGTCCCACTGCAACCTGTTTATTCCTATATACAGTTACCTCCCCTTAAGGATCCCTGTCTCACTGCAACATGTTTATTCCTATATACAGTTACCTCCCCTTAAGGATCCCTGTCCCACTGCACTGTGTTTATTCCTATATACAGTTACCTCCCCTTAAGGAGCCCTGTCCCACTACACTGTGTTTATTCCTATATACAGTAACCTCCCCTTAAGGATCCCCGTCCCACTACAGTGTGTTTATTCTTATATACAGTTACCTCCCCTTAAGGATCCCTGTCCCACTACACTGTGTTTATTATTATATACAGTTACCTCCCTTTAAGGATCCCTGTCCCACTACACTGTGTTTATTCCTATATACAGTTACCTCCCCTTACGGATCCCTGTCCCACTGCACTTACTCCCATAACATGAGAGGCCGCTGGTCGGCCTTTTTTCAATCGGATATGATTTTGCCGACTGTGACCTCTCATTTCCGAAGCACTAATTCTTTGATGCAGTTTCCGCCCGAAATCCGGGCGGAACAAAATCGGCTTGAAAAACTCACATAAGTGGTTAACAGTTCATGACAACGATGTCTACTCACGGTTTATATAATAAAGATCTCATATATATGTCACAGACACAAATATATAGTATATTACGGAATAGAACACTCAAAATACATGTCCATGTCGTTGTAGCACATCTCTGACCTACATTTAAAACATGGCTTCTGGATTAATACAAAATATCAGGGGGGATTTCAAACGGAACGAAATGATACGGAGTTTGTATTCCGCTTGTGAAACATTACATGTAATCCATTTTTGTATTAACCGGAAAATCATGGCAAATGCTGTCTGCTTCGCTTCGAATGAGGAAAAACTCTTTATTTATGTCTTTGACATGAAGTTTTTCTCATATAATCATGGATTTATGGAAAGGAATATTTATTGGACCCTTTTGACCATTTAAATGTATGTAACACGATATACTCTTTCTTAATCCGAACTTTGAAAATGTGATAGTCAGCATCGGGAAAATCAGCTATGGGCAGTTAGAGGTTACGCGGCGCCTGTCAAAAGTTTTTCGCCGTGTAAAACCTCTAACATTGTTGGAGTACACTGCACTGTGTTTATTACTATATACAGTAACCTTCCCTTAAGGGTCCCTGTTCCACTGCACTGTGTTTATTCCTATATACAGTAACCTTCCCTTAAGGATCCCTGCCCAATGCACTGTGTTTATCCTATATGCAGTAAACTCCCCTTAATTAAGGATCCTTGTCCCACTGCACTGACTGTGTTTTTTTCTATATGCAGTAACCTCCCCTTAACTTGCGTCTAGCTTAACTGTAGCAAAAATGGTCCAGGACACTTCAGTTAACCAAGTAGCTCAGTCAGGTAGAGAGTGGTACATCAATCTGAAGTCAAGGGTTCAATTACTGGTCTAGCCCATGCCAGTTGACATTTTTTACACTCAGAACCATATGTTGTGGATTAGATTTTGCTTAGTTTATCTTTATTATTTCTCATAAAGGTTCTGAAATGTATGGTTATTTTTCTTCAGAAATGATTTATCAAAGCTTTAGTCGTTTCGGGAAAAACAATTTCAAATTCTTAGTTACAGTTTTTGGCAGTGTCACAGGGATCTTTAAACTGAAACATATATAACTGTGATGTATTTTTCTATAAGTAAATTCTTATTAAAAGTCACTCATTTGTACCTTTCCTACAATGAAGTCTATATCCGTGAACTGCCGGCTGTCCAGTAGCCGTCCATAGTCATCATGCAGGGTACATTTGGGGTAACTGGAAAACTGAAATACATCAAACACAAAAATAATCTCAGTATTGTGCAAACTATCCCTTTTTACTGCTATTTATTTGTAAGTAAGACATTCTGTAACTAATTAAGGCATATTTCTTTAAAATTTTACAAATGTTCATGTTTTGTTTTATATTGTCAAGTTTGGTAATTATGGATTACTGAAAACAGCAGAAAATTACTGTATTACCTGGAATCTGTACATCTCCCCACTTCTGACATTGTTGTCGACAGTCCCTCCAAACACATACATAGAGTCGGACACCACAGACGCAGCATGAAACAGCCGACCCGCAGGAACCTGTATGTAATGAATGCATGAAATGTCTTATATCCTGTTTAATAAACAAAATTTTATTTAACAGAGATAAATATTTTTTATAAAATAATTGAGCCATTATGGAAATATGGATTTTTGGTTTTGCTTTCAATTGACATTTAGTTGTCAAGTGATGCAATATGAATACTGGTACATTAGTCCAGAAAAAAGGAAGGTTATACTTTTAAATGTTCAATATTTTCATTATTTTTCATTTGATGCAGTTTTAGGACAATGATGCGAGTATGATTTACCTGACTGTCATTGGAGGGATCGACCACCGACCATGTCTGGGAATCCAAGTCAAAGCTGAAACGTACAAAGGGACATAACTCTTACATTAGAAATCTAAAAATGAAGCAAATCCTCCTCCTGCCAAACATAAATGTGTTTGGAACATATTTAATGTCTAAAGCCACTTTTTATGAATCACAAATAAATCATCAGTGTAAGTTCCATGCTTTTGCATATGTTTTAGATCATGAGGTCCAAAATCACTTTTGGTTAACATAAAACCCAGTTATGTAAATCAAATCTCCAAAAATTGAAAACAATAACATAGCACATTTCCAGAAGTGGTCCCCACCAGTGTAACTCGTTGGGGAGTGTCTGTCCTGTAGCTCCTCCAAACACGTAGAGGTGGCGGTCAAACGCCACCATGGTATGACCATACCGCTTCTCAGGAGGGGGCGGAGCTCCGCGCAGGATGTGGTCAGTCGAGATTCTAGTCCATCTGATAAAGACAGCAAATATATGTATACAATGTATTAAGGATCCCTGTCCCAATGCACTGCCGATTTTTCAATACACAGTAACCTCCCCTTAACTTCCGTTTGGATGTAACTGTAGCATGTTTTGGCTCGTACACTTCTGTTGACCAGGTAGCACAATCGGTTTCAGAGAAGGTATAACAATCTTAAGTCCTGGGTTCAAATCCCATTCTTGCCCATCAGAATGTTTTACACTCAGAACACGTTTTGTTGATAATCTTTTGTTTTATTTCATCTCCATTATGTTTTCATAAAAGTCCCGCAAGGTATACTTTTCTTCTTTCAAAAAATGATTAATCAAAGCTAAAGTCATGTCGGAAAAATAAGTTTGAATGCATAGCTGCATTTGTTGGCAGTGGTACAGGATTCTAAACAATATTCTGACAAGCTCTTCCTCGGTGATGATTATCTAAAACATGTGAATATATGAAAATTCCATTTCATCTCAGACAAGAATTTTGGAGATTATAATCCTTCATTTATATCTATTGTTCCTGTGATGTCATCATGTTGTTAATTTCCACATGCTATCTGTACATGTCATATTCTGGGTATAACAGAAACAGATTTGAACAGGTAAAATGGAAGAAAATTCAATGAACATTTGAAGTGCAGATTTGTGCACATTTCTTATGGGGATTAGTATACCTGACACCATATAACAGCTGATATCCTTATTGATTTTTTGCCATTTCAACAAATAATTATTTCTGAGTAAAGATTATTGCAAAAAGCATTACATTTTATAAAGAATTGCGCATTTTGTATAATATACATACCAGAAAATACACTTCTGTCCGAAACTTACTCTTTGTCATCAAACTTGAACTGGAAGAGATTGTTGGTGATCTTGGCACCACTTTGTCCAGAGAACACGTACATTGAGTCACGGGCTACAGCGAGGGCAAAGTTACAGCAAGTCGGGGGTATGTCACCTGTCTGATTAACCTGTAAATAGAACAAAGTTACAGTACATAAGAGGTGTCATTTATCTTATTTACCTGAAAAATTGAAAATAAAAAATACACATTTTAATATAGTCATACAATTATAAATTCATTATGTTCATCCATACATAGTTGAAAATTTAGACAAATTATCGATTATGTAATACAAAATCTTGAGATCACATTCCAAGTCACTGAAACACCTCAACTATTGTTTTGAACTTTTGATTTGAATTTTAAAATTAAAAAAATAAGATGTAAAATTGAAGATTGAATAACAAATTATATGTATATAAACTTTACTTATTTTACAACAATTATGAAACAAGTTTCTCCAACTTGAGATTAATCATTCTTGTTGTCCCAGGTTGGAAGGTCGCAGAGAGTCCAAATGCGAGAGGAAACCAGAGAACCGAGGGAAAACCCATTGTCAGGCAGGTGACACAATTAACACAATACCTTTCACTTCTAACCAGGGAATGAAACCCATTGTGCCACCCATTCTTATTTATTAAAATGCATTTACAGTATGAAGGTTTTATTATGAATTATTGAAATAAACACCAATTAAGAGATTTTAATTAGATAGCAGTGATAAGTTTACCTCCTCCCAGCTTTTGGCAGTCTCTGTCAGTGGGATTGTCCACATATCATTAAGTCTTGCGTTCCCGTCATAACCTGCAAATATCCACAGTTTCCAATCATAGATGGCAGCACCGTGGGCAGCTCGAGCGACTGGACACCGACCTTCAAATTTCCACTCCACCCACTGTCCCGTGGCGAAGCGGTACTCAAATAGGTCATTCTTGTTGGTGAGATTTAGGTTGGAATGAATGTCCCCGGTGTATCCACCTGTCACAAACAAAAATAAATCTCACAAGTCCGTCCTCAAATAGTCAGTCTATAAATCCTGGCTTACATTGAAACAGCATTGTCACAAATTAAAAAGAAGAGTATATCATGCATATATTTGAATCTTCATCAAACTCACTCAAAGTTCAACTTGCCTGGTTTAACATTGAATACAAGCCGATTTCCCAAGCAACAAAGTGATCTATTTTCCCAAAATGAAGCAAAAATGAGAAATATCTTCCCAATGCAATAAAAAATAATGGTATATTTTCCCAAAGCTGGTAAAAACAGTCTGTTGTTAAAAATAGTTAGCAAAAACAGTGCATGTTGATTTCAGCACCTTCTTACGTGAACAACAAAGACAACATCAAATATCAGAATTATTTTGTCCATCATAAGATCTGATATTTTTTTTAATTTGAAAATATCTTATCAGGAAGATGTAATTGTGTTTCAAGCACTTGTGAATTTCTGTATTGAATTTTGAAATAAAAATTTAAAGAATGTGTATAGGGTATGTTAATCAACAATACATAAATATGGGAATAATTTTTTCAAAGATTCAGCAATACTTACCAAAAACAAACATGCTGCCCTCATGGACAACTGCGGAGTGGTGATAGCGCGGGGCTGGGGGACACCCGGTGGTGAAGGCCCTGTTAACAAACACGGTGATCGGGGATCTATATTACCAATACATAATCCAGGAATATATTATACTGCATACAATAAAACACAACAGGAATACAGCAGGGTGAAGATCAAAAGAGAGGCCCACTTTATATACTGACCTAATACATATAATATCAAAATGTCATATCTTGCAAGAGTGCAATGGAAAGCTGCTGCTGCTGCTGCTGATTTGTCTGTTTAGGTAAACTTAGTATATTTGTATTAGTATTTGAGTTTTGAGTCTTATCTGTATATTGAAACAATTAAATATTCTAAATATATTTGTATGGATCAATAAACTCAATAAGGTGAAAATCAGACCCTCAACTATCTTGAAGAGGCACGGTAGTCTAGTGGTAGGATGCCGGGCTCACGACTGAAGGGTTGTGGGTTCGAGTCAAGGCACGGCACTTTATGCTAGAATTGTTGAAAGCACCGGCTGTGTGCTCCCCAGGGAGTTGAGAAAAATATTGGCTGTTTGCAAAAACCCTATAACCACAGATAATAATTTGTGAACCACTTTGAGACGACCTACGAACTAGGTTGTGATAAAGCGGTATATAAGAACCTCAAATCATTATCATCTACTTTCAGCAGGCAGACCTTATCTTTGCCTTACAGCCTTGATCAGGTCAGGCCATCTTGAGAAGTAGGTTTTTATCTTCATTTCACCACATTCAGAACTAACTACAGGATAAGTGTATATGCATAATGATTGAAAAGAAAGTCAGAGGCGCTCACTTTGACCTGTTTTAACATAACATCCTTTCCTTAGGCCTAGCAAAAATATTTGATGTTTCTGCTTTTGGCTCCCAAAATTAAGCTATGTAGCTATACAGGTAGTCAAAACTTAATTAAAGCAAATATTTGTGTCAGACAGCATCCTCAATACTTCAGGGGTTAAGCTCACTTTTGCTGCTGTCTGCACCCCTGGAATATGTCATAGCAAAATTGAAGGCACACTGATAACTATTTGATTGGTCCCAGGTAAAATAACCTGACCTGGGTTGATACCTGTCCTTGGAAGATTAGAGAGGAGTGACACCTGATTTTACAGTCAATTTTACGGTTACGTGACCGACAGATTCTTTTGATGTACAACATGGGATCAAACTAGTCCTCGTCTCATCCATAAGGCGGTGAACATTGAGCCTTCGAGTTTGCTATGGCATATTCCAGGGATGCAGAGAGTGAAAGTGAGCGTAACCCCAGGAGTATGGAGGATGGTCAGAAAGATGAGACTTACCTTCCCCAGGACTTGTCTTTCACATCAAATCGTAACAAATCATTGAGCATATTCTTTCTGTAATGAAAAACACAATTTTTTAAACCAACGAGAGTAGGATCAGTGATATGAAATTTTAGTTACAATCGATAATTTGATGAAAACAGTACAATTGTACTTAGACTGATACATATAAGGTGCTCAAACATAGCTATGTGATAACAGGCACCCTATATTTATGTTGCCAACTGCGTTCATACTAACGTATACCGTCAAAATGAAGGTTAATCCTTTTTACAATATGTGTTTTTCTCGTTGAAAATTTTGTATTTGTTTTAATAAATGTATTGTTTACAAATATTTGGAAACTTTGGATCTATAGATTCATGTTTTCTATCAACTTACTTCTACAGCACAAATAGTCAATAAACAACAATAAAATGCATTTCTAGTTCTGCAGTTTTATTTGTACATGGTTAATTTAGTTTAAATGGGGGTTTATATTTGTTCTAAGCATTTTGAGATACGAAAACACAATAAGTTTCCCATGGGTTCTTAATTACCTTTTAACCAGCTTTTCAAGTTTGGTATCAATTATAATTGGCTTTAATATGTTTTATTCAAAGATTATTTTTTCATTATTGTTTTATCATTTACCCATCGCAAATACTTACCCATTATCACCTCCAAACACATAGATGGCTTCTTTGTAAGCAACCACTGTATGTTTGCTTCGTCTGGAAATACAAAGTACACATTTACTTATACAGTATATCAAATAAACATTGGATGTCCACCATGTCTCCTTGAGTATTCATTCAGGTAAGGATTTTTTTGATTTGAGGTCTAATTCAAAACTCAGGTACATGTAACTCCAATTACATTGTTAGGAAATTAAAATATTTCAAGAGCTGGGTAAAATAATATGGAATAAATTAATTATGTTAGCCTACAGGGGTTCTAAATTCAGAGGAAAACCGGAGTACCCAGAGAAAACCCACATGGTCGGGCAGGTGACCCCTGCACACATGTATGATCGTGAATTGAACCCTGGCTACCTTGGTGAAAGGTGAGTGCATTATGTATATCCGCTGTCTGTGCCAGCCAACCACCCAGGGACTATTAGTAGTGCATTCCCATTTGGCACATCATGATTCGGTTGCACTCTGATGCATTGTGCACTTTGTAGGGTAGTGATAGTGTGTTACAAGTTTTTGTTTAGGGTTTGACTTGAAGCAGGATATAGACTGAGATTCCAGTACAAAATTGGGGAGACTATCTGTAGTTCCATAGCTCTCTCATATATACTAAAGGTACTCTCAGTGACCTACATGTAAATCTACTGAGTAAAGTTCATGGACTTATGTTTACAGTTTCTGATGTTCAATTTTGTTTATGAAGTTTCTGTCCACAGTTTCAAGTTCTGTTTGTAGATATACTGTTTGTTCTAGGCGAGAATCTAGTTCTCCACCACAATTTAAAAACCTTAAGTCATAGATCTGTAAACAATTTGGTAGTACACTGTACTGGTATTTATTATATAAAGAACATTGTTCACCTTAAGGGCTCAAAACATGGCCTACCCTGGAATCAAACCTTGAGTCCAGAGAAGAGGAACAATACTGGAAACCTAATTCAAGTAACTAGGTACATTGTATTTATAAGTCAGGTACTGGAGCACCGGAAAATCTGGCTATATAGGCAGATTTAGCTATATGGTCAAATATGACCATACATATATAGAACGAATGTAAACAAACAAGTCAATTGTGGTCGTAATACCTCATGCTCATTAAAAATTTGGTAGACAAACAGGCGAGTCGAAATATTTGTATCTATGCAACGATGGAAATTCACCAAATCAATTAAAATTGTGTAATCATAAGCAGGTCGGGGAAAACCACTTACTTGCGTATCATACGCAAACTCGCCTATTATACGCCAATAGGGGTATGGATTTGTTATTAAAAATAGCCAAAATCACTTTAATCTTAACCTTTTCAAATTGTTTGTCCAAGTCGCATTTATTCTTTCATGAAACATAATACAAATGCAAAAATAAACTTTATTTGCATGTGGGAAAGTACCAAAAATAGATGCAATACTTCTGGTAAAGTTACATCAACTTTCTAAGTAGCCAACGCTTTCAGTCAACATCTTTTAGCAAAAAAATATTTACCATGTCGTAAATTAATGCGATTTTCAATAATATCTTGCAAAAGTTACTGTTAAAGCGATTTGGGTTAATTTTAGTAACAAATCCATACTCCTACTTGCGTATAATAGGCTAGTTTGCGTATATACGCAAGTTGGTGGTTTTCCCCAACATGATAAAATGATCTTTTATTTCCCCAACTCACTTGGGTTTGGTCAACACTTTTATCGACATGCACGATATAAATATAACTAGAGAGGTATTGTTTGTTTACATTCGTCATATATACTGATATACGTATAGTCATTATAACTTGACTATGATTTGCCGGTGCTCCAGTACCTGTACGTTTACAAATTGTCCTTGCATGAGAAAGAGTATAAAAAAAATATGAAGATAGAAATAAATTCGAATCACGACAAGGCAGATTTTAACAGTTCATAGAAGCACACTGACCTGGCTCCAACAAACTCGTCACACTCCGGCATCCGCCGCCATCTATGAACTGTCTCGAAAGGACCAAAATCTAACGTCAGGCACTCGGCCCCCTCTGTCCACAGGTGGTCAAACTCAATCTCGGGGGGTCGGGCTGTCGCCATAATATCAGACAAAAAATATCAAAACAGAAGAAACTTCAGTTTCATTTTTTGCCGTTACTGAACATTTGGCTTCCCCATGATACTGGTCTTTTCAGGTTCCGCAGCAACAATCATAAAACCTCAACATAAACAGGAAATGCATCAGACAAAATCGATATCCATATGACGCTTACTTCTTGAGGAGAAATTACACACGTGAGACGAGTTACAAGCGCCTTTGATACGAAGACCTACTTTCATTTTGAGTTTGCCCTGAACCTGAAGCTAAGGCCACCACAAGATGGGTGTCACTCTTTGGTTGGGATCAGGTTTGGTGGCTGTGGCATGCTGTTACGTCCTGATCAAGTTAATACAGCTTTATGGATCTACAAGGAAACGTAACGCGATGATCGAGCGATTTCCTGGCAATAAGTCAAACTTTCTATTCGGGAATTTACTTGAGGTAAATTCACAGGTTGTTAAAAAAATTATCTGATGTTATCATCATTCAGGCAATCTCGTCATCATGATATAGCGCGATTATATAAATAGCTAGCTGATAACGGTGTAGACCACACTCACAGACTAAACTACCCACACACATATACTATACAGTAATACAGCTATATGTACATATAAATGATCCCTGCAGAAGGGCATATATATATTTAACCCTATACCATAATCACAATGCACAGAAAGACAATATTACTAACAATCCAGATTTGGATATCCAGATACCAGTCACATTAATACATGCTACTTTTACAAACCTGTAATGGTTAAAAACAAATTTGATATCGTAACATTATATAATTTCACTGCTTTTTCTAAGCCTACATAATGTATTTGTTTTCCATATGCATTATGTACATTACTTTCAGGTTTATGACTGCAATGTTAAAATGTAAGATTTCAGAAGTTACATGTTGGATTACACCATCAATAATACCTGTATATATATATATATATATATATATATATTTAAAAAGCATATTATATTTACTGTGCACACTTTTTATTGGCAGCATGGTAAATGTGATGTAATTTTCATTTTCGAAACAGTACCCGGGGCCTAACGAGGCAGGCTTAAAATACCAGCGAGACATGACTGCTCTGTATCCTCGAGTATCTAGAGGCTGGCTTGGACCATTTATTCCACTGATAATTGTCAATCACCCAGAGACAGTGAAGGCCATCATGAAGACATCAGGTATAGATACTTCATAATCAAAATCATGTTCCGTTAACTCATTCACCCCTGAAATTTCATAATGAACTATTCCAACCATTGAATTGGAAGCGTTCAAATGTGTCTTCAGGGGTGAATGAGTTAAAAGTAAAAAAATATTCCTTATACTAAAATAATATGAAGTCAACTAAATTGTGGTTGCTGTGACATAAGGCGAGAAGACAGAGAGGTTATGATGATGGTACATGTACTGTTAATGTCACTTAGTCCAGTAGCCACTTAGGTTCTGACAAGACAATGTGCAGCTATTTCATTTATACTAAACTTGTGATAAGATAAGAAGACAAACACCCACTCATGACCATATTGTTACGAATAGGTCATTACAGAGATGGACTTCCAGCCCTTCCAGCTGTCCGTGTAAGGCAATACATTAGATATATATACACGACCGATATTTGGAACAATAGAAGATACATACCAAGCCTAAATCAAATACTCTTCATTAATTATTAATACTAATTAATGTGGTTATATACATGTATGTAATTACGTACATGTAACATATCAGTGGTCAGGAGGCTAGTGTCACCTTGCACTGACCACCAGTTAGAATGTTGTTCCCAGTGCAAACTTCTTATGTACATATGGTCCTACAGTATGTTCTGTATATTTTCTGGCGTCATCATCACCAAACATTTGTACCTCCATGCTACTCACACCCAGACACAACTATAGAACAGTATCAAGTTGTGTCTCAATAAGCTGGATCAGCTTACATCAACGTCGACACTACATGAAAACTAGTACATTGTATGTATAAATGGTCCTCCTCTGTGGTAATTCTGTAGTGACAACTTCAAATTGTGTTATACATTCCAGCAAGACCATCCAGGTCACAGTCTGGCACCTTATAATTATTATGGCACGTACATGTAGAAATGTTCTGAAAACATGTAGCATTACCTGGTACTTTCAGAAATCAGGTTGTTAATATAACAATTCAGAAGTAGAAAAATGGGACAGTCTCACAACTTTATTCTTACATAATGTGTGGATCATAAGTTGTTTTTAAGAAATCATTGAAAATCCATCTCTTAAGCTCATTGATACTCCCTAATGAGGTTTTGAAGTTTCAATGTGTATGCTTTTACTGTGCATTATTTTTGTTTTATTTTGACATAACTCAGGGTTGTAGGTTTTAATCAGTTATTTGTTACTGCTTTATAATTTTCTATGAATTGATAACATATATTATTATTAATATTCTCTAGAATTTTAGTTTTCAAAGTTATTTAACTACGATGAGTAAGAGAAAAAGATGGGTGCAGAAAATCACTTGAAGTTACCCATCCAGGATATTTGTTTTTATTTGAGTTTGGGTCGAAAACATTTTGCTGTTTTTCAACAGAACCTAAAGGGAAGCAGATCTACCGCCTGATTGAGCCGTGGATTGGAGATGGACTGCTACTGTCTGGGGGCAGTAAGTGGAGAAGGAATCGCCGACTCCTCACTCCAGCATTCCACTTTGATATATTGCGACCATACCAGAAACTCAACAATCGCACAGCTGACGTATTTATTGTAAGCAGAAACATGGTATCATGGATACCTTGTATACGTAAATATCAGAGACAATTAAGGCTGAATGATGCATGGAGTTTATACATGTATCATGTGAATTTTACAAAATGTTCCCATATATGACCTCACTAATTAAGGCTTCATTTTGAAGTTTTCTCATTGGTTGGTCAATTTGAAAAACAATCTTTTTCTAAGGATTGAATTACATCATTTTATGATTTATGATGGTCTGCAGCACCAATCAGTTCAAACTTATTCAATCATGTGCAGCGACACATCTTGAAGAATGCCTTTTAATGAAACTGTGTTGCATGCCATCATATAGCAAGGCTAACGCATTTCTGCCAAAAACTGTAACTCCACATTGGAAACTGTTTTTGCTGCATGGTTGTAGCCTTGTTTTATAATTTCTGAAAAGAAATCCATACCTTACAGGATTTTTCTGAAAAATAATTAAGTTGACATAACGAAATACATATATAATAAACAGCAGCTGTAGTCTTAACATTGTGCGGTTGGTAGACTGAGATTTGAACCCTTTTTGAAGATTGTTATACTATTGCTCTAACCGATCGCGACTCAGCTACTGGTTCCCCAAATGGGCTACAGTGATATCCAAAATGAATTTAAGGGGAAATAACTGTGTATGAAAAACTACAGAACAGTGGGACAGGGGTCCTTAACTCTAATCATATTTAATGTCTACCACCAGGATAAGCTTGACAGATTCCACCTGGAGGGAGATGGATACTTTGAAGCTTTTTCACATGTCTCCCAGTATACCCTAGATGTCATCCTGCAGTGTGCTTGCTCCTACAAGACTGAGTGCCAGAGCATAGGGTAGACTTTTTATATATTTTTATAATTGTTAAAATGACTCATTAAAGGTATTGAACAAAACCTAAAAAAAAATATCCTGAATTTTTGTAGACAAATTGATATAAGTGTAATACTGAAGATTAATTATTCATTTACTCAAACTAACATGAAAGTTTATTTTATTTAAATTTTATTTTTTATGAATATTGCTCTAGTTGATCGCATGTCAAATTGTTAAAGTGTAATACTAGGTATTTGTCTGAAGACTAATTATCCATTGACTCAAAAATGACATTAAAGTTTATTTCATCTAAATTTTGTTAAAAATTCGAACCAAATGTTGGTAAAGGTTATCAACAAATTAAACTATAATATCACCACCGTCACTATCATGAAGTATTTTTAGTTTAGCCTTTTCAAAAGAAATACTCCATAAAAATCACATGTTGTGGTGCATTGCAGAATTATACTTTTTTTCTTTGATATGTTTGAAATTAGATTTTTTTTTTTTAATATAGATAACACAAAATCAGCAAAGGTCAAGCATGGGACCTTTATATTACAAAACCTACACTTTATCAATGTTGCTTGGTAGGAATTATACTTGAATAGCTTCAAAATAAGTGTCCAATGTATGGGCCGCAAAGCCTACGAAAACCTTTAGTATCAAGGAAGTTACTCTTAACCAGACAAAGTCCTTTCGATTGTTTCATCTTCTATTTAGAAGGGAGAGTACTCCAAGTAAAAAAACCCTCTGATTGGAACTCTTCTTCACGATAATAACTGATGCAGTGGTACTCTTGACCTTAAATTATATGTTTCTTCTTCAGCGACAAACATCCCTATGTTCGCTGTGTAACAGAGATGCTGGAGCTAATTACAGATAGATTCTTGTAAGTAAACATTAAATAATGTATCATGTTTTCTGCCATCTTGTCGTGTTTTAGTTAAATATTATTAATCAGGATTTGCCTTTTTTTTAAGATCCAACTGATTTAATGCAATTTAGCACATCAGTAACATGTTCAGTCTGTAGGTTTAAGGAACTGTGAAATTCTGTGGCATGACCATGTAATGATTGTGAAAAACAACCAAATATTGTAATACGAACATACCGTATTTGACCTAATTATAAGGGCACAGAGTGCGGGTAATTGAAAGAAGGGGCACCCTTATTAAGTAACATTTATCTGGAGTTTTCTGCTATAGAAATACAGTATTATATACTAACAGTTACTGAGGTAGTTAAGATGTGTGTGTATATTTGTGGCTGAGTAAGAGTGAGTGAATAAAAGTCTGTTTTACTGAACTCCTGGGATCGATGCAGTACATTTCAAAGACGTAAAGTTATAACTGGTCCTCTCGTGTGTCCGAAACGACCTAAAATCGGGTGTCATTTATATTTGAATTTATCGTGTAGCCTATACTATTCCAACATTTGTATTATTGTAACATATATAGATAGTGTATTTAGGAATTATCACGTGCATTTAATTATTTAATATTTCCAAATATCACAGAAACATAATATCCAAGATGACTGGTCATGATCCAGTGCTTGATGTTTTTAGACCTTGCACCCTTATTACAGCAAATACGGTAGTTGAGTTATTTACTGGACAGATGATTGATCAGTATGCTGTCTTTATTCTACAGTAAGCCGTGGGTACACAATGATTTTATCTACCTGCTGACGAGTGACGGCCGGCGCTTTAAGAGACACTGCGACTATGTACACAAGGTGGCGGAGGACATCATCATCAAGAGGCGGGAATCAATGGTAGGTAGTTTGTCATCAACAATAGATGTAGTCTGATATTTATACTGCTGTATTCCCTAAATCATATTCATCAATTATAGACTTTCCAGTCCACTCAGCTGTAAATGAGTACATGATTGGGCAGTGCTGGAATCGTTGATTACTTACTGTGAGCGCCGAAATGGCAGCACCGGTTGTATGCTCCCCAGGGAGTTGAGAAAGATATTGGCTGGTTGCAAAGACCCGGCCTATAACCACGGATAATAATTTGTGAACCGCTTTGAGACGACCTACAAACTAGGTTGTGATAAAGCGGTATATAAGAACCTCAAATTGTCATTATTATTATTATGGAGTAATGCTGAGGTGAATCTGGTCATATGAACCCGAGAAAGTGATACTGACCAAGAGGAATTTGAGGTCAAAATTGCTTTCTCAGGCCCATTAAGAACATTCTCTATAAACAGTATTTTATATGATAAAAATATCCTTACTTCACCAGTAAAATTATTTAAAAACAACAAAACACATGAAGCTTTCACAAATTTATTTTGATGTGAAGTTATTTGAAGTGCTTATAATCAAGAAAATAGGTATTGATGGAAACTAATTTTAATTAAATGATTTACGCTATGGGTTTATGAGGTATCAATTTGAATATTAAGTTTATAATGTCAAAGAAAGTAACATCATGCCCAAATGTTATTTTCACCTGAAAAGTCTGAAAGTCATTGTAAGACTTTGATGAAATGCATAAGACTGACCATCTATTGTAGAAATCTGAAGAAAATTCTGCGGAGAAAAAGGCACTTGATTTCCTAGATATCCTACTGACAGCTAAGGATGAGGAGGGCATTGGACTAACCGACATTGAGATCAGGAACGAGGTGGACACATTCCTGTTTGAAGGTAAAAGCAAGGAACAGTCAAATTACCACATGATTCATCGAGGCATACTTGCCAACTCTCCCTATTTTGGAGGGAGACTCCCAAATTTGGACACTAAAATTTGAACATTTTCAGCTAGTTATTTTGCTATTAACTTAAAATTATTTCTTGAATGTGATTCTGAAGTGATATTTATCACCTATGGGGGATACACACACATTTCATTTATGATTTAAATTTTGTAGCATGCGTAATCTCCCCTATCAAAATTTCAAAAGGTTGGCAAGTATGTCATGTCAGGGTCATAATAAATTGATTGACTATTCACTTAGGTCATGATCATGCTCATATCATTTACTTATGTCATACTCACATGTTTTATCACGTTTATATAAACCACTATCAGACTCACATGTTTTATCACGTTTATATTAACCACTATCGGACTCACATGTTTTATTCAAGGTCATACTCAGATATTTTGTCAATGTCATATAGAAATTATCTAATTATAAATTATAAAGTAATACTCAGTTGATATAACAAGTTCAAATATATTTCATATGCATATAATTAACTGAATTAGGAGTCAAAGAATTTAACAAAGTTATGATTATAAAAGGGTTTGATGAAGTGATTAAGTTAGTAGTATTAAATCAGAAGTTATACATTAATAATACCAACAGGGTTTAGGTGCAATTTCATAATTCCCAATACACATGTATCTCATTTAACTCTTGGCTTTAGGGTAACCATACATGTATTTGATTGTGTATTTGTCAGTACATGTATTATAAGTTTGATTGGTATGTTGGCTACCTCAGTGACCAAAAGGTGTTGACCTTTGTCACAAATAGCTGGAGTGATTTGTATAGATGATCATGAGTTGTCCAAAGTATGTTTAGCTTAATGGCTGCTTAACACAAAATTTTAAACATATGTTTTTTTCAAAAGTGAAGTTGTACATTTGTGTGTATAAGGAATCAAAATGATCATCATATGAGAAAAAACATAAAAATATTGACAAAGCTCTCAAAAATCAAATTTTGAGATTTATGTTAATGACTTATTAAGCAAATTAGGTTTTGAGCAAGAGGACCCTGGTGATGTAACTGACCTATAAATAAATTGACCTTTGCCAGGCCATGACACGACCTCTAGTGCCATTTCTTGGACCCTGTATTCACTAGCAGAGAATCCCGAGATCCAGCGGCGCATTCAACAGGAGATTGACGAGGTCCTTCAGGGGCGGGACTCTGATGACATCACATGGTATGTTAATTACTGTCCATTGTCAATGGTCTGCTGTCTCTTAGGGATGGTATATCATCAATAAGGTCTTTGATTAATTTCTTATACATGTATATATATAGGATCTTACATGAGTTTCCATTTCATATGAGATTTATGAAACAGGTCTAAGAATTTTTCAATTTAACCATTCTCTGGCCAGTTTCATAAATTTCATATGAAATGAAAACAAGTGTAAGGTCCATTTTATTTGTGGCATTTATTCGTGTAAAACGACAATTTTCATGCAACATTGAAATGTAAAAAGCAGCCATTTTGACTCAAGTGCGTAAGTCTGTGCCATCATGTTCTTGTCGTAGGCTCGACGTCACAATTGAAACTTAAAACCAACCACAGGGCTGATAGGTCATATTACATTGGTAAATACGCCGAAAAATATGACATGGGTATATTCACCGGATAACACAGTACATTAGGTAATAAAAGCAAATACTCTGAGGAGGCTGTTTATTTGGTTGAATAATACAAAAAAAAGGAATCCAAATTTCATAGCATTAGAGCCCGTTTTTTTTTTTTTATCAGTCATGGACTTTGGTTGAGGTGAAAATGTGGTTAGGTATATGGACATGAGAAAGATATATTGACTGAGATGCAGTCGACATCGGTACATTGTTTAACTTTTCAGGCCCATATCCTCACATATTCACCAAAATGAAAGTCCTTTAGTTGTATATCAGATAGAAAGTTATGCTGTTTTTACATTTATATTAAACAAGATTGAAGGTACATGTCAAAAAACTTTCAATAGAAAACACTGCATTTGGTTAAGAGCATTGTGATGTTACAATTGAAGTAACGTTGGTCATAAAGATAATATTGACCTGCTGTTTCTAAAAAAAGTAACGTGGAGTCAATATCACAAAGCACAAACCTCCATGTGATTATGATCAAACTCATGAGGATGTGAGAAAAAAATACGGTCATCTGCCGTAATGTGCATACCGACTGTAGTTTTCAGTATATCAGTATTTGAGGCATGGATTTGAGGCATGGTAGTCTAGTGGTAGGACGCCGGGCTCGCGACGAGGGTTGTGGGTTCGAGTTACGGCACGGCACTGTGTTGTAACTTTGAGCAAGATACTTTACTCCACTCTTTCCAGTCTATTCAGCTGTAAATGAGTACATGGTTGGGCAGTGCTAGAATTGTTGAATGCTAGCTGTGAGCACCCCAATGGCAGCTCCGGCTGTATGCTCCCCGGGGAGTTGAGAAAGATATTGGCTGGTTGCAAAGGTCCTATAACAACGGATAACAATTTGTGAACAGCTTTGAGACGACCTACAATCTAGGTTGTGAAAAAGCAGTATATAAAGAACCTCGAATTATTATTAATTATTGTTATTATTATTGTAGCTACAGTAGTAAGGTCGGTAAAGTGACAAAAATTCCAGTGAAAGTGAACTGAACTACCTGGTAAAGGGGGAAAAAAGGGATGTATGGTCATAATTGAGTCTTAAATGTTTGTTTATCACCAACAGGGATGATTGTTCAAATTTGCCATATTTGACAATGTGTTTACGAGAGGCAATGAGAATCCATGTGCCAGTTCCGATGCTGTTAAGGGAGGTAACTGAGGACATGGAAATGTGTGGGAGGGTCGTTCCTAAGGGGACCATGATCACTATAAGTTTATACAGACTTCACCATAACCCTGAAATCTGGGAAAACTCCTTGGTAGGTGTGTTGCCTCCCTTGGATATATCGTAGCCTCGTATTAAAATATAGCTTAATACTACACTATATATTTATATATGTCCATATTAACCTAAACAGATATTAATCCTACTTTTCATAAATTGTGTCTTGGTTCTGCAGTGCTTCGATCTGATGTAGAAAATTAACATTTGTAAAGTACACTAGTACTGGTTGGCCTGAAAAGCATGAGTTAAGGGCTATTTCAGGAAGAAATACTATAAGATTTCTGTAATATCCCTTAGCATGTCATAGCTAAATTAATAAAACTGCCAGAAATATTGGCTGCAATTTAAAATTAATTTTGTTTCCATTTGAAAACACAGTGTTTTGTTTAACTCATTCACCCCTGAAGAAACATTTGAACTCTTCCAATTCATAGGTTGGAATAGTGCATTATGAAATTTCAGGGTTGAATGAGTTAAAAATATTATCCTGACAGAAACTGCTAAGACACAGGATATGTTCCCATATAGTCTTGCCAAGCCAGCTATAGTTGCCTGTATCTATATTTACATACAGAGGAAAGGTGCATTGACCTATTGGCAGGTTGAAATGAAGGCTAGCTAATTAGCCTTACTACAATATACATTTGCCTTGTTGTATTGTACAGTTACCTACACTGTAGGAGCTGTGTGCTAGTAATGGGTTGTATAATACTTGTACAATTACATATTTAAGACTTTTGGTTATAACCTTGACATTCAGCAATTCAGAAATTAATTTAATCACATTTTCCCTGTTACATGGCGAGTCAAAACACCCCAACGCAGGAGCAAAAACTAACTTTGGGGAGTTAAAAACATACTATCAAGGGTCTAGTTGTGCACATACTGCACAGTTGTGTGACTGTATATAACAATTGCCTAGCAACACTGTACACTTGTCTATAGTCACATTGTACATTTTACCTGTCTGCCTATCGTTGCAGGGATGATCTGTCAAAACTCACGTATCTCACAATGTGTGTTAAAGAAGGCATGAGACTGCACTCTCCGGTGCCAGTTATATTAAGGGAAATAACTGAGAGACTTGAAATAGACGGAGAAATTGTCCCGATTGGTCAGATGGTTTTAATCCTCATCTACAATACCCATCACAACCCGGAAGTTTGGGAAAACTCTATGGTATATATTTCTTATTTTACCTTGATATAGCAGAACCTTGCTAATCTGAACTGTTTTTCACACTGATATTTTCGAAATAAGCTGCTTTTTAATGTTAAATTCTGTTTTATAATCTGATACACCATTATCAAGCTTTAGACTATCACTACCGTAATAGCTTCTGAGCATACAGAAGGCAGATGTCTAACCAGGTTCCTGTGTTTCAGTGAATTATTTAGTGCACATGTACTTGTATAATTTACACAAGAAGATATGTTTCCCTGCTCCCAATTTTGTTCATTTTTACCTCAGGTCCTTACCTTTAATTTAAATGATAGGACAAGGGGTCAAATGTCAAATGATTTTAAAGCTGTCTGGTACATATAACTTTTAAAAGGTTAAACATCTTAGTATGACTACAGATATCTATTAATATAATGACCAGAGAGTGTGCCAAGGAACAAAGAACATTCATAGGCCATATCAGAGGTCTAGGTCATGACAAGGGGTCATATCAGAGGTCTAGGTCATGACAAGGGGTCATATCAGAGTTCTAGGTCATGACAAGGGGTCAAGGGTCAGATTTTTGTAATGATCAAGGGTAAACCATGTTTTATCACAATACATCTCCAGCACACACACAGGCATACACACATGGGGAAATATTAGCCAGGTGGCATAGGACTAGTAGTTAGCACCTGATAAGGCAGCTCCTGCGAATTCCTCAATATTGTATTGATTAATGTATATACTAATTGTATTGACTGTAAAAAATTGTATATCTATGTACTGTTTAGTGCTTTAGAGTGGCTTATGTTAGCTAGATTGGGCGCTATATCAAATGTTGTATATATATTATTATCATGGTTTAAGATTTTCTTATGAAAGCTTATAGATTATGTGCACAATGATTGAATGACATCTGTTTCTATTTTCCCCTTTTAAAACAAAGAACTATGTTATTATTGGAAAACAATAGCAAACCAGTTATAGTCAGTTTGGTATGAATCACATATTTCACATGAAAATATTTACCTTTGTTGAAAAAATCTCGAAACTTTTTATCCGGACAACTCCTTCTAAAGTGGGATCAATTTAACGAAACTTTCCAGATATGATAACTACCACCTGAAGTTGTACATCCAGGTATCATTTTTTCATTCTCTCCGTTTTTTTCAAAGTTATGGTCTTTTGTTGAGAAATCCTTGTCCGGACAACTCCTCCAAAACTATAAGGCCAATTTCAATCAAAGTTTTCAAATATGTTGACTATCACCTGAAATTGTGCATCTAGGTGTTATTCTTTTTGTTCTGACTCTTTTCACAGAACTATTGCCCTTTGTTGTAACATGCTTCCCCACACAACTTCTCCAAAACTATTGGACCAATTTCAATGAAAAGTTTCAGATATGATAACTACCACCTGGTGTTGTGCATCCAAGTATTAATTTTTCAATCTGACACTTTTTTTTACGGAGTAATGTCCCTTTGTTGAAAAATACTTCTCCATACAACTCCTCCAACACTATGCTCCTAATTTCAATGGAATATACAGATATGATAACTACAACCTAAAGTTGTGCTTCCAGGTATTTTTTTCCATCCCTCTTTATGGAGTTATGGCCCTTAGTTGAAAGATCTTTGTCATGGCAACTTATCCTAATCTACTAGGCCAATTTCAAAGAAAGTTTTCAGATATGGCAACTGCCCCTTGACGCTGTGCATCCAAGTAGCACTTTTTCATTCCGACCCTTTTAAAAGGAGTTATTGCCCTTTGTTGAAAACAATCTTTGTCTGCCTCCTAAAGTACCGGGCCAATTTCAGTGAAAGTTTGCAGATATGGTAATAACCCCCTGATGTCGTGCATCAGGGTAGTATTTTTTCATTTCGACCCTTTTTAATGAGTTATGTCCCTTTGTTAAAAATCTTTGCCCTGACATCTCTCCCTTTACTGCTAGGACGATTTCAGCAGAACGGTTCATCTGGGCTAACAATATTTCGTTTGCAAGTATGTTTTGGCATTAAGAGGGAGTGCAAGAAGTATGAGAGTTACATATATACTTAAATAAGTGTACAGCTCAGTCAATAAAGAAATCATTACTGGTGGGAGACTATATTGCTTTGCTTAGTAAGCCTTTAGCTTATAGTTCTGGTTTATATAGGAGCGGGAGGTATAAGTTTGCCTTTGGCTTTACAGCTATAGTTTTAAGTAGTTTTAGTAACGAAAGTGCTAGTGAAACAACTGATTAAAAATATCACCAAACAAAAAAAAATACTGATAAAAAAGTTGTGATGTCGAGGGAGCATTCCTAAATTATCATCTATTTAGAAAAAGAAAAAAAAAGGTAGGTAGTTAGGCATTCTTCTTATTTATAGTGTAGCTAGTCTCATGCCTTCTATCTCACTCCTGCCTAAGGGTCAATTCACTTATATTGTGCTTAATATCGCCACTAACATTAAAGAGCTTTGCTTAATTCCCATTGCTTGCTGTTGTTTGTATACATATTGTCTTGAAAAACTTGCTTTTAAAAAGTTGACATAGTTTTGCCTGCACTTAACATATCACTCGAGTACATTTTATGTACATACTTTATCTATATGTATAACTGGCCTCTAGTAAGTGTAGAAAAAGCATTTTCTATACCAAAACTTAATCCATGCTAATACAATTTGAAATGTTCAGGACATTATCATTGAAGTATACATTTTGCTATAATAAGTATGAAGTTGTAATAACATGCATATAATCAAAGTAAAAATATATAATTTTAATTGGCATCAAAACCTATACAAAATTGTGCATGACCTATTTAAATTGAAGATAATTATAATTTAAGATGATATTCATAATTAAATCAATCGCTTCTCTATTCCGCACCATAGGTGTTTGATCCGGAGAGATTTACACCAGAGAACATGGAGAAACGAGACCCATTCGCCTTCGTACCTTTCTCCGCAGGGCCAAGGTGAGTCACTATTCCATTGTTCTATCAGTGAAATTAAAACCAGATCTCCCCTCCCCCCTTTTAATATCTTTTCCATTATTTGTTATATATATATTATATATACTTGTATACAACTTGTCCACATTGTTGGAATTACTTCTTTGCCCCATATAATATTTTAATTAATTTGTATCCTACGGACATACCTCCATTAGGATCCAGTGTTAGCAACCACAAATCACGAATGTTTATACACAAACAACATTTCATGTTATGCAGGCTGTCAGAACATATATCTTATGTAAAATCTATTTGAAGTTATTCTCGGTCCTGCAGGTAAGGCGTAGGAATTCTACCTGCTGCTCCCAATTGCATGATCGTAAGATCTAGAAGCAAGTAAATTTGAGACCTTATCTTTTCTCTTCTTTCTAAATAACTTTCTTCCTCCTAATGTCTCCCTTGACATTGCCTCACTTTTGGCCATTTGTTGAACGGTCGCCCCCGTGTTGAAGGCGTTGGGTTCAGTCCCCTGGCCGAGACATATCAGAGTCTATAAAAATGGTAGTGTCTACTCCTGCTAATGCTCAGCAAACGTTTCAGTGAGGTAGCACTATAAAGTCGGCATCAGTTCCGCGCTATCACAAGGAGTCAAACACGAACAAATCGCAGCCTCCCAAAATACACACACATACACTGCACACATGCATCTTTCACACAGGGGAGGCAGTCCTTAAATGACCTTAGCTGTTAATAGGACGTTAAACAAAATAAAACCAAATCAAACCAAAATTTGGGTGGTCGGATTGTAGAGTGGATATAGCACACACCTCTTTCACAAAGATGGCTGGGGTTCGATTCCCCGATTGGGTGTGAAAAGGTATTTGGTCGACTGCCACACCGTGTAGGTTTTCTCCAGGTAGTTGGGTTTCCTCCCTCATTAAGAAACTTTGTATGTATCCATCTGTGCTATAGGAGTGATTGTTATAAGGTCAGAAAACTCTTTTCTAATTAGTTGTTGTAAAATAAAAAATGTTTGTATCTGTAAGTTATTGTGGACTTAATGTTTTATTTTAGAGATTTGAAATTGTTTTGTTTCTATTTTATTGTTATCTTGGAAGTCATGAATGTATTTTCGTTGCACAAAGATTTTGTAAACAACATAGTTATGAATGAACATACTTCAAGAGTTACTGCCCTTCCCACAGTGAAAGCACAGTGAGGATTGCGCCTCTAAAGTCTACCTACCATATTCAAGCTGATAAGCATATTTAAATTTTTGACAGCTACTTGAATCATAGGAATGCTTCATATAGTTTACATGGCTTCTTTACCAAGTCAAGTGTTGGTCAATATATACTCCATTCTGCTTTTATTCTTTGGAAGTGGCTTTAAAGTCATATGTTATTCCTTTTTAAAGAGGATGTTTTTTTTCAATTTTCAAAGTTATTTGTGATGTGGAATTGGCTTCTTTGGAAATAATGTTGCATTATTTTCTTCATGGTGTTTATATATGTTTATTGGTATCTTTTATTCTTTCGTTCTCTCTGGAAATGTTAGTATCCCGTTTCAAATGAAAACTACTGAATAATAAGGCCGGTGTATTCTTAAATCTCCACTAATTTGTCCACTATATAATGTCAATCAGGTTGTCAAAAGAAGTTAATCTGCCAAATACGTAATGTCCAACAGGGTATCAGGTTATACATGGTATCTGATTAAAAAAACCCACCAACATCTCCCTCATTTCCTAGCTCCTTCCTTCTAACATAGGGAGATCTAATAATAAACACCCCTTATACATTGAATAGAATATTATGCACTCCTTATACATTGAATATCCTCTTACTTAGTGTTAAATAAGTGACATTCCAATAAAGTGCATTAAAACTTTGTATTCATTTTGACTAGTATGACTCAAGCATTGGTTGTACAATGCATTGTCTGTCTTAAAATCCAGTAGCAATATCTCAAAAAGTAATACGTGGCAATTTTGGTTTCAGATTGAATTAAAATGAAATAAATAAGTTGTTTTACGGAAAAAAGTGGCAGGATAATTTTTTGAAATAAAACCCATTAATGTAAAATACATTTATTTAGTAGTTGTTTAACGTTTTATTATTCTTAGTATAATCACTGATACCAGTACAATGTATATCAGTTTCTAGATGAAAAGGAAGAGATATTTGATGATTTTTTTGACTTTGACAGTTTGAATTTGACAGATATGATTTAAGATGTCTGAATTGTTTTATTTCTAAAAATCTGTCTCAGATGAAATAACGTTCCAAGCCATACTGTACAACTAAACATAGTTTGTTATAGATTCTGATTTATTTATGTTCAAATAAAAAGGGAAAAGCTAACTTCAGAAATTGTAAAACCCTACTCACAATTGTATAGACTATCTTTTTTCGTACATAGGCAACTGTACGTCGATATTTTGTCAGTGACATATATGGACTGTATATACTAATTATCACAAACTCATAATGAGTTATGCAACACCAAGTTATCAAAAAGAAATGTGTTATACAATCTATACAAAAAAAACCCATCGGACACTGAGGAAATGTCAAAACAGAAAGGAAAGCATGTTTAAATATATACGAAAAACAACATCTGGCATGGAGGAAATGTAAAAACAAATGGAAAAGCATATTGACATCTATAAAAAACCTATATCGGACACTGAGGAAATGTCTAAACAAAAGGAACAGCATATTAAAATCTATACGAAAAACAATATCAGACACGGAGGAAGTGTCAAAACAAAAGGAAAAGCATATTGAAATCTATAAAAAAACAATATCAGACACTGAGGAAATGTCCAAACAAAAGGAAAAGCATATTAAATATATACAAAAAACAATATCAGACACGGAGGAAATGTCCAAACAAAGGAAAAGCATATTGGAATCTATACAAAAAGCAACATCAGACACTGAGGTAATGTCCAAACAAAGGAAAAGCATATTGAAATCTATACGAAAAACAGCATCAGACACGGTGGTAATGTCCAAACAAAGGAAAAGCATATTGAAATATTTAAAAAAAAACAACAACAACAGACACGAAGGAAATGTCCAAACAAAAGGAAAAGCATATTGAAATATTTAAAAAAAAACAACAACAACAGACACGAAGGAAATGTCCAAACAAAAGGAAAAGCATATTGAAATATTTAAAAAAAAACAACAACAACAGACACGGAGGAAATGTTCAAACAAAGGAAGAGCATATTGAAATCTATAAAAAAACAATATCAGACACTGAGGAAATGTCCAAACAAAGGAAAAGCATATTGAAATATTTAAAAAAAAACAACAACAACAGACACGGAGGAAATGTTCAAACAAAGGAAGAGCATATTGAAATCTATAAAAAAACAATATCGGACACTGAGGAAATGTCCAAACAAAAGGAAAAGCATATTAAATATATACAAAAAACAATATCAGACAATGAGGAAATGTCCAAACAAAAGGAAAAGCATATTGAAATCTATACAAAAAAAACAACATCAGACACGGAGGAAATGTCCAAACAAAAGGAAAAGCATATTGAAATCTATACAAAAAAAACAACATCAGACACGTAGGAAATGTCCAAACAAAAGGAAAAGCATATGGAAATCTATACAAAAAAAACAACATCAGACACGTAGGAAATGTCCAAACAAAAGGAAAAGCATATTGAAATCTATACGAAAAACAGCATCAGACACTGAGGAAATGTGCAAACAAAGGAAAAGCATATTGAAATCTATACAAAAAACAACATCGGACACGGATGTTATGTCCAAACAAAGGAAAAGCATATTGAAATATATACAAAAAAACAACATCGGACACGGAGATAATGTCCAAACAAAGGAAAAGCATATTGAAATCTACAGACACTGAGGAAATGTCCATACAAAAGGAAAAGCATATTGAAATATATACAAAAAAAAAAAACCCAATATCGGACACTGAGGAAATGTCCAAACAAAAGGAAAAGCATATGGAAATCTATACAAAAAAAACAACATCAGACACGTAGGAAATGTCCAAACAAAAGGAAAAGCATATGGAAATCTATACAAAAAAAACAACATCAGACACGTAGGAAATGTCCAAACAAAAGGAAAAGCATATTGAAATCTATACAAAAAACAACATCGGCCACGGATGTTATGTCCAAACAAAGGAAAAGCATATTGAAATCTACAGACACTGAGGAAATGTCCATACAAAAGGAAAAGCATATTGAAATATATACAAAAAAACAACATAGGACACGGAGATAATGTCCAAACAAAGGAAAAGCATATTGAAATCTATACAAAAAAGACAACATCAGACACGGAGGAAATGTCCAAACAAAGGAAAAGCATATAGAAATCTATACAAAAAGCAACATCAGACACTGAGGTAATGTCCAAACAAAGGAAAAGCATATTGGAATCTATACGAAAAACAATATCGGACACTGAGGAAATGTCCAAACAAAAGGAAAAGCATATTGAAATCTATTCAAAAAAACAACATCGGACACGGAGGAAATGTCCAAACAAAAGGAAAAGCATATTGAAATCTATTCAAAAAAACAACATCGGACACGGAGGAAATGTCCAAACAAAAGGAAAAGCATATTGAAATCTATACGAAAAACAGCATCAGACACTGAGGAAATGTGCAAACAAAGGAAAAGCATATTGAAATCTATACAAAAAACAACATCGGACACGGATGTTATGTCCAAACAAAGGAAAAGCATATTGAAATCTATACAAAAAACCAACATCAGACACGGAGGAAATGTTCAAACAAAGAAAAAGCATATTGAAATATATACAAAAAACAACATCAGACACGGAGGAAATGTCAAAACAAAAGGAAAAGCATATTGAAATCTATACAAAAAACAACATCGGACACGGATGTTATGTCCAAACAAAGGAAAAGCATATTGAAATCTACACAAAAAACAAAATCAGACACTGAGGAAATGTCCAAACAAAGGAAAAGCATATTGAAATA